CAGGCGGAGGGCGCGCTGCGCGGCATGGCGGCGGGGCGGGCGGCGGGAGGCGGCCGGCGGCCCGGCCTGCGCTCGCAGGGCGCTAGGGCAGCATCAAGGCAACTTAGGGGGAAGGCTGGCGGGGCCTATTGTCTGCGCGGGGCGGCGGGGCGGCGGGGCGGCCTCCCCCCGCGGGCGCCGCGGCGCTTGGTACGGCCCAGGCATTCATGCCAAGCGGCTCTGGCGCACGGCGCTCGCCTCCCGCGGCTGCTGACAAGCCGCAAACGAGGCGCCCCCTCCCGCCGCCTCCCCCGCCCCAGCGGCGGGCGGGACGCGTCGCGGCCTCCCCCGCCTCGCGCGCACCGGCGGCGGCGGCCCCCGGCCCCTGGGGAGCGCTCCGCCTCGGCCTCCCTCGTTCTTGGGGAGCCCGGCCGAGAGCCGCGGTGCCCGTCGAGCTCCGCCACCGAGCTGCTGGGCGGTGGGCGCGACGTGCCCGAGGAGGAGGGAGCCATCTCACGTGGCCGTCGACCCCATCCCAGCTTTGGCTCCTCTTGAGGGCCCGTGCCCCAGGAACCGCCAGCCTCCAGCTCTCTGGGGCTTCTGTGGGAACCCAGTGAGGAAATCGGAGTGGCTCCCAGGCCACACAATGCCCCTGAGCTCGGGCTGGGGCTGAGCCCTTCAGTGGCACCCTGACCATCCAGGCCTACGCGCCCTCCGTCCGGCAGAAGATAAACCAAAACGTGGCCGGTGTGAATCACGGAACGGTGTGCCTGATGCACGGGTTCACGAGGGTTCAGTCGGCTCAGAGAGGAGCCACATGACCCACTGTCATAGGTTTCATAACAAAACCACAAAACTCCATCTCAAAAAACACATCCCTGTCCAGGGACAACAAAAGGTTTTTCTGTGAGGCTCAGCGGAAAAGAACTGCGGAGCCCAGAAGTGTTGCACAAGCATCAGCTGGTTTCATTTAATAAAAATAATTATTATAATCACAGTAATCGCCATTTAGATAGCTTTTTTGTCCAACGATAGCAAAGACACTTCACTAACTTGAGCAAGTATTTTTATCTAAATTTAACGAGGGGTAAAACAAAGTCAGTCAGACAAAGTGACCTACCAAGGTCATCTTGCAAAAATGCAACAGAAAGGAGAATGCATGGTTCTGAATTTAAGAGACCAACAGTGAAGTCACCTCCCAAACACAGAGCTCCTACAATCTCCTGAAACTCTAAAGTTTTATTGAGTAGTAGAATAATAGAAGTTCTGTACTAGTCCACGTTGCTCTGTGAAGAATTTTAATCAGGTCCAATTTGCAGTTCGGATACTAGGACAGATGCAAATGATGTGTTTCCTAGGAAAGAGAAATGAAGGTCAAGCAAGGAAGAAAGACTGTGACCAAGAATGGCTGTAGATGGAGAGAGGAACGGGCTGGGGGAAGCACAGCCAGGCTAGAAAACCAGTGTGCACAAAGGCTCCATATCTCTGTACACCAAAGCCACTTCGCGGTGCCGGAATTCTGCCCTGAGTAGAGCTGAGCAGTTTGTTCCTGAATGAGGGACCTGGGTCTTGTCAGGGTGCCATAAAGGCTGGGGTCCACTCAAGCCATCCTAAAAAGCTCAGGATTTCTACATCTTTTCATACAGTCTTTTAAGGGAGAACAAACCTCCCCAGGCTGCCAGGTTGAAGCCTGATTATTTTCAGATCCACATCCTGCTAATGGGAAAAAACAACCCAGGGCTAAACTCACCTTGTCTAGGAAGGCTGCACCCAGCAGAAACAGCCTCTCTTGGCCGCTCCCAGTCTCACTTTTTAGGCTGCTTTTGTACCTCAGTGAAGATGACTTCGTCCTCTCTGCCAGCCCCTAGACCTGCTAGAGTCTAACCAGCCCTGGATGAGACCATGTCTTCTTGCAGCTGATGAGAGCTGCCGCTCCTGGCAGGGTGGATTTTCCCTCTTCCTTCATTTCCATAACGTTTCTCTTCTGTTTACTTTCCCATTGCTCTCCTCATGGCCCCAATTCAGGACAGCGTGTAAGCACATGTTTAATCTCATTGATCTCACGGCACTCCACTTACTAAGGAAAACACAGGTCCCTTCACAGAGTGCTTGTCTCTGAATTTTACATTAAAGAGATGCGAGATAAAATTCAGAAGCGGTCACCTGAGGGTGGACTGGGACGTGGGCATCCCCCTCTCCTCAGGTGAAATGCGGAACAAGCAGGGTGCTGATCCCTGCAGATGCTTCCACCCCAGTGTATGCCTAGGGAAGCCACAACGCCGTTGGCAGGAGAGGTAAGCATGCCCTCTCTCCTCAAACAGGCGCGGCTCAGAAGCTGGAGCACTTCCACGGGAGACACAGACTGGAAACGCCAGGGGCAGAACAGGCAGCACAGGCTGGGGCTTCTGAATTCTTCCAGGAGTACTTTAACCCGGCTGGATGCTGCACCTTACCAGGAAGCATCAGCCTAGCGATTCTGTACAGTGCCCATCCTGGAGGCATGCTCTTGGAGGCACAGAAGCATTTTGTTTCTGGATTCGCCTGCTGCTGTGCTAAGCTTTGTCAAGCAGGAGGACAAGTACAGAGCAGAGCTGCTGAAGCCAGGGGTCTCACAGTCAAAGCGGATGGGCCTGAGGGCTCTGGGCATTCCCAGAACTAGGCATCAGCTGAGCAAGGGTTTGCAGCATCATACCTTGCTCACAAGTATCTGAAATTCATCTGAATCCTGCTTCATGAGATCAAGAGCTTTGTTTGACTCATATCTGGGATTAATTTCCCTGTCTGTCAAGTAGGAATTACAATATCCCTTACTGGCACTTCTGTTAATTCAGACTGTATGATGTTTGGTGAGTTTGTTTGTTTGCTTTGCGGGGAGAGAGATAAAACATTTTCTGTATGTTCATGTACACTATCTTGTATGATAGGACCCCAACTCTAGTTAAAGTGATGAGATGGCTCCTGTAAAGAGGCAGACAGTGAGATAGTCTAGCTTACATACATACCTGCTTCCTTTTTCCACTGCACTGAAGCATTCATCTCCCACCTCCTCTACAAATGTATCAAGAATGAGTAAAAAAACAATAGTACTGTGCTTGTCTTGTGTCCCAAACAGGAGTACACACACTTGCACCACACAGACCTGTGCATGCCCAGTAGACCAGACACCTCTGCAAGGCACATAGGCAGATCACCCGCACAGCAGGTCTGACAGTGTGGGGATTCGTTAGGCGTTGTGTTTCAGTGCTTGTATGCTACACAGTTCACCTCGCCGGCGTGCGATTGACCTATCCTGAATTTCTGGATGTTCAGCAGCCCAGCTATATGACAGACCCGACGGGCATGTGGAAACTCTGATATTCCAATTTCATCCCAACAAAGTTCCCAGGTGGAGAAAGATGAGAAGTCCGGGGAAATATGCACATGTGGAAGCTCACCATGCTGAAAAAGACAGATTGATTCACCTGTACCTGTGCAGCAACCGTTCACACCTCTTCTGCTCTCTGCTGCTATGCCTCACCTCGTGCTCGTTCTTCTTAGCTGAGTGCCCAGGTGGCTCAGAAAGATAGGGGTTCTCGAGTAAACGTTCCTCTGAACTGGTGTGGCTCTGCTTGTCCACACGTACACATCCCTCCTCACAGCGCATCAACTGGTCGTGCATGTTGGCTGTCCCTCTGTCCCTTGTAGCAGAGGTTTTGAAATGTTGTACTTGGTCACATTTTACAGCACTTTGGGGGGTCTTTTACTCAGCCCCATTAGTTTTCTCCTCTGTCAATGCAGCCTAATGCCATTGCCATAGATGCTTCATTCCTGGTCAGACCTCAGATAAAATATTCTTAAGAAAACCTCAGAAATCCCATTATTGCCAATTTTCAAACCATCTGTTCCTTTTCTCAAAGTCCCTGGTGCTGGATTCATGGGCTTATGCAAGAATCTCAGCTTTCACTAAAAAAGGAAAAGTCACTTTTCTAGTTCCCAAAAGCCTGGAACACTGGAATACCAGAGGAGGACTCTGAAATGATCATGCACTTATTTCAAGCCAGATTTCTGAGATAATGCCCTGATTTGCAGGTCCTGGCTCTCAGTCTTGCTCTCTGGGAATGAGAGCGCACCGTTCAGCTGCTTTTAGAGACCTTTCTGCTGGAAGCAGAGGGGATGCACTGTAAAGTAGGGGAAGAGGAGGGAAAGGACAGCTCTGAAGCAGTGCACTATAAAGGTGTTCTTAAGCCTTCATAGCCAGAGGCGGGAGGGGGGGGAGTAGAGGGGGGAGGGATTGTTCCTGTTGCAGTTGCATTGTTTTATGGTGGTGTCATGCAATGAGATGGTGCCGGTTGTGGTTGTAACCAGCAGGCGGAGCTGAGCTGAATAAACAAGAGCGAGCTATTCATAGCCATAAGGAGGGCAGAGCACTCCTCTCCTAGCAACACAACCAGAAGAGCAGTAAGAGCTCTGCCCAACTGGGGAAGAAATGTGCGCGAAATGTGGATGTTCTTCCCCTTCCAAGCAGTTCCTCTTCCATTGCTGTGAGATGCCTAGAGATCTCTCACCTGTCCTGCTTGCTCTGCCCAATTGCCCTGTTTGAACTCAGCACTCTACTTATACAGGGTTTAGTAAAGTCCATTCTCTGGGAGTTTGACCAGCAAACACCCTTTTCTGCTTTAAAATGAGAAATACAGGAGAGGCAGAAGGCAGAACACAAACTGCTGCAGACTGTTGCACCCAGGAACTTGGTAGGATGAGGACTCTGTTCTGACCCATCTCAGGACTGATGATGTACCGCCATGGTTCCACAAGCAATTGGAAGGCTGCTCTTTCTTCACCCATTTCTGCTATTTCTTCACCCATTTCTCCTTATCCAAAGTCCAGTGATGTCAACATCTGCACACAGTGCCTGCTGTTTTTTTTCTGGAGGGGGCATCTTAAGGCAGAGCTCTGGAAGTTTGGGGTGCATGCAATAAAGCCCATGGCAGTTAAATGCAGAAGGACATTTTGTGAAGGAAGCTAGCACATCTCACTGTTTGAAAGATTAGACATGTAGTAGGAAGGTACTGACAAGTGTTCCAAACACCTGTAATGTCACCAGTAAATCAAGCAAAAGCATTTGTCAGCTCATCATTAGGAGAGTAATGAGGTAAGTACTATAGAATTTAGGCCAGGCAAAGAGGCCTGCATCCATCTGTAGGAGACATCACCACAATGAAAAGTCAGTAGTTAAGAGGAAACTTACGGACTTCCATCAGAGGGAATCCAATCCATAATGAAGTGTCCCTTGCTCTGACCTCTCCTCAGCACAGATATATAGTCACACCTCTGGAAACCTGCAAATCTACCTTCATCATGCTACCATCACCTAATTACCATAAGCAAACTTCTCAGCTTGTGAGTCCACCAGTCCATAAGCTTCACAGATGACTCAAAATCAGAATACAGGTATTGTGTTCTCCGATACACCGCAATAAGCAGATTTTTGAACGACATTTTAGTTTTCCAACAAGTTTTCAGTGTGTGAATTTATTAAATTGCTGGGAACAAAAAAAGGAGGAGGGTAATCATAGGCACAATTAGTGTCTATCTGGAAGGTTGCATACTAGGCTTCTAGATCTCTTGCAAAACATGCCACCACTTGAACTCCAGCAGTAATTATCTTTTACAGAGTTTGGCAAGAAGAGAGGGCCTCGGCTCACAGTTTGCCATTCAGTTACAAACTTTCTGTTAAAGGAGAATGACAAAATCCAGGAATCCCAGGTTTCCCCTCTAACTTTAGGACCTAGAGATTAATATAATAGATGGGGCAAGCAAGTCACATAGATTTGGTACATCCAGCTGAAAGCAGCGCAGCTGATGGGATAAGAGAACTGTATTTTGATCTCAACTAATGGGATATGGCACAGCTTTTTTCTTTGTTTATTTCTGCATTACAGGAAGGTTGGGCAGGCAGGGGGTAACAGACTGAAGCCTTGCTCAGCAAAGGTTAGAAAGCGCCCTGAAATACAAATGAAACAGCAGCATAAGACGAACAGCAATGTAAGGTGTGCTGCCTCAGAGCAGCTTCCCTTCCCTTAGTCCGTAGGAAATCAAGGCTGCGATTCTTGTTTGGTGTACCTGATTCACCTGAAAAAGCAGAAGCCTCATACAGTTAAGAGTACTTGATAGAAACGATAGGACAAGAGAGAGCAAAGAGAAAAGAACAATTGATTTAATGCCTTCTTCATTTGTATTTAAATAAATAAAGGTGCCAGTATAAGGCTCTAGGCACCTTAACACACAATTAAGACTACCAAAGAGAAACTAAGCTACGCACCACTCCCAAGCAGCATGAAATGATTATCCAGAACGTGCTGTGCCACCTCCCAGAGGAAAAGACTGGTTCCAGCCCTTCCAGCTTCTCTCTTCAAGGGTCTCATTCTCATCTTATGAACTTCTGCTAGCAAGGGGAACGACACATTCCTGAGTGCTACTGCTGCCCACTCATGCACTCTCTGCCTACCCATAGAACAGAGCAGCCAGCAGTACTCTCGGTGACCACCACTGCTGTCATACTGCACAGGAAGGGAATGTATGCATTGCTTTTCTTCCTCTGGTAATTCTTAGCAGAAAAAGTGTTGACTTACCCCAGACACTGTTGATGTTGAAGAATATTGCTGGCCTCAGCATAACAAGCTGGAGAATGTCAGTGTCCACCGGTGGAGGGGTTGGGGGGGGGGGAGAGGGGGGGCGGGGGGAAAGAAAAAAAAAAAAAAAAAAAAAAAAAAGAGGACTGAAAAACTCCAAGTGATTTCACTGGCAGTTACTTCACTAGCAAGACTGTTACAGACTCCCAGCTTGTAACACTGTTAGCATTTCCCCCACCACCTTACACAGAATCGTTTCTGTTTTCCATTAAGATCTCTTGCCCAACTTGCAGCTGCACTCTGCCTCTCTTCCCCAGGGCAGGGGCTGGAGCTGACAGGCCTCAGTGGAGACAGCAACCACCTTCCCCAGGGAAGGACCAGCACTTGCAGCAGGTGACCAGCACTGACATCACTGCCTGCACTGCACTCCACCAAAGCTGCTCTGGTAACTCCCAGTTCCAGTAATCTCCAGCCCAACTTGCACAGGAGTCCCTAAGATGGTATGGTGCTAACAGACAAGCTCAGAAGCGTGCCAGCTGGGGAAATGATCAGCAACCAGTTTGCAGAACAGACCATGGGTGAGGCAGAGGAAAAAGTGGAATTAGTGGATATGGAATCGGTTGAATGGTTGTAGCCAAGAGCTGAGGTCAGTGACTCCATTGAGGTAGAGGCAGGTGATGAGTGGCGTTCCCCAGAGGTCAATCTTGGAACCAGTGCTCTTCAGCATCTTCATGAATGACATAGACAGTGGGATCAAACATACCCTCACTAAGCTTGTAAATAACACCAAGCTGAATGGTGCAGCTGACACAACAGAAGGAAGGGATGTCATCCAGAGAGACCTCGACAAGCTTAAGAAGTGAGCCCCTGTGAACTGAATGAGGTTCAACAAGGCCAAGTGCAAGGTGTTGCACTTGGGTTGGGGCAATCCTGGATATGTACAGACTGGGAGAAGAACTCATTGAGAGCAGCCTTGCTGAGAAGAACTTGGGAGTCCTGGTGGATGAAATGCTTAACAAAAGCCAATAGTGTGTGCTAGCAACCTGGAAGGCCAACTTGGGCTGCATCAAAAGAGGGCTGGCCAGAAGGGCAAGGGAGGGGATTGTCCCTATCTACTCTGCTCTCAGAAAGCCCCATCTGGAGTACAGCATCCAGGTCTTGGTCCTCTAGCAAAGGAAAGATGGGGAGGTGTTGGAGCAGGTTGAAAGGAGACTATGAGGATGCTCAGGGAGCAGCCTTTCAGTATTTGAAGGGAGCCTACAAACAGGTGAGAGACTTTTTACAGGATCTGGCAGCAATAAGACAATGGGAAATGATTTTAAACTTATGAAAGCTACACCTCACCCAGTTGGCAAGTCAGCCAGTGTCTTGAAGAGCCAATCTGTACGGTCCTGCAGGGTTTGTCATTGCAGTGATGCAAACACCAATGCAGTAGAGAACTTAAATGACGTGAGCCATCTTGGATCCAGCTTCCTCAGTTCAGCAGTGTTTCTTATGTACTAATGACCCTTATTCCTTTGTGCACAGCATCCAAAAGTAAGCAAGACTTTCATGGAATCAAGACCTGAGCTATGGAGTCTGCCATGCTTCATAGTGCCTACAAAGGCATAGTGGCTTGAGTCTTCATTGGCATGCCTATCCTTGCACCACCTTCTGTGTCATGCTATCATCAAGATGCCTGCAATATGCAGTGGGAGCAGGAGGAATGATCAACATCAAGAATTTCGTTTCTGATGAGGAAATCCAAAGAACTCACCGTTGAATGACCTCAGGTACACTATGTCACCTGCCCCAGTGCAGGGTACGCTTCAGCACACACAGTGACACAATCCCAGCCTGGCAGTCATCTCTGTGAGTCCATTCCATGAGTGCTTACTGACTCTAAGCCTTCTCCTCGAGTTTCCGTCAACTGCTAGAAAAGCTCCCACTCCATTGTCCCTGGTGGCTAGAACTCACATTCAGCAATCACAGCCTAGCATTCCTGCAGGAAGACAAGCTTAAATAAAGGAGCTGAATATATCTCCTCCTCAACCAGCAATTATTCTGTTTCCTCTTCTCCTAGGTCTCCAGCCTGACTAACTCTGTCTCCATACACTGGATGTGGACCCAGCAATGCTCAGTTCTGCATGTCAGCTGGGGCTATGTGCAGTCATGACATTAGGTACGATCCCTAATCCCAAAAAGTACCAGCTGTCACCATGCTGACTTACTGGGACACAACAAAACCAGGCTTTTCTAATTCTTATGTTCTGGCTGCCCCTTCCCCAAGGGAGTGCTTATAGCCAACCTCAAGCCTCAGAAACACATCCAGGTCACACATTGCTGAGCAAGACCCAGTCCTAACTGACATCCCAGCAAGGACAAGCTGCAGATACTGACCAGCTTGCTTGGCAGCACACACCGGGCAGAAGGAAGCAGCAACTTTCGCATGGGTTGGGAAGTTCCTGGCAGCCTCTCCACAGCTCACTCCTTCCATGCTCTGCTAGCCATTGTGACACCAATGCTCAGCAGGGCACTCAGGAAACGCCACCTGCAAATGTAGGAGGGGAAGAATAAGCCTGCACTAGCCAGAGAGGGTGGCATGGACATATTGAGCCTCTGTGGACACAGGCATTGTGGGAAACCTCCTCTATCAAACATCTAGCCTTGAAATAGAATGGGTGACCTTGCTGGGCTCCCAGTATACTCCAAACAATGTCAAAACTGTGCTTCTTGCCTTTGAAGAGCCTGGTCCATTTTCAGTGTATTTTGGTGGGAATCTTTTCACTTGCTTCAAGGAGGACTTGAATGGGGAGAAAAGGAGAGATGTGGCAGTGCTACTGAGGAATCAACTTTCCCTGTGTCAAATCCATTCTTGTGAAGGAGGAGACAAAGGAATAAAAATCCAGAAAGGGACAAACTGATATCTGTGACTATCTGATTCCATAATTCTTTGTTCCTCTGGCATTTGTGTAATAGTAATGATTGGTGCCCCCACCAAGGTCAAGGCCTCCCCATACAAGACACAACAGCATAATGAGAAACAATTCCTGCCCTAAGCAACTCAAGTGAAGAAGAGAGTGAGGAGATGGGGAGCAGGGACGTAACTTGCTCATGTTAACAGGGGCCAAATGAAGAGCTGGGATCCCAGAACAGCTCTCTCCACTTTTCTTCTCCTCTCCCCAGGCCTAGGGTCTTCAGCCATAACACCACTCCGACTCCTCCATCACTCTGTACAGCTGCAAAATGAATTCATAAGGTTTCAGAATTAGTTAATTTCCAGGAGTAGTTCCTTCATTACAAACACCACACAGCAGGCATTTTACATCTACAGCTATAAGAGCAGCCTAAGCCCGCAACCCTTTGTCAAGAGTAAAAATAGAAAACAGTCACAGTAAATGTGAAGAGAGTCAGGAATAAAGCAAGGGCAGAGAAAGATGGGAGCACTAGAAGTTCTACAAGAGAATGAATGCTTCGAAAAATATCTAATTATCTGCAGAGCCTGCATATGCTGCATCCTTGTTTTGGCATGGCAATATGATAAGGCGGCAGCTCAGGGCTACACAAAGGCAGTTCTAGCAGTTATTTAGATTGAACACTATTGGCTCATTCCCAAATGAGAAGGAGCCCACCCTACCAAGTCACATCCTTCCATGTCGACTCGAGCTGATGGAAATCCTCGTCACTTCCATTCCCCCAGGGCCCACAGAGTGGCTCCTACCTCAGAATGGAAGAGCAGGTGAAGGAGAGGAAGGCAGCTCTGAACAGGAATGGTGGCAACGGTTGCAAACCTAAAGGGAACGAAAGGGCTAATAGTTCACTGGGGAAGGATCGGAGGTGCTACAGCTTCTGAACCTCAGCCACGGCAGGGCTGGAAGTGAATGTGCGTATGGATGAAGTACTCAGGATAGGAGTATGGCAGCAAAATGAGTGAGAGCAGGCAGAGCGTACAGGCACCGAGTAACAGGTCCCCATTCCTGTACTCTCGAGAAGATGTTAAAACTTTCTTCCCATCACAGTTTTCTTTATAACACTGCCTTAGTTGGAAAATAACTTGGGAAGAATCCATGGACATCTTGCTGAACAGAGATGAGAAGCAGCAAACACTGGGGGACAGCAATTGCTTCCCTTGTCACACAGATGACACCAGGAAGATCAACCTACTGTTGTGCTGGCCAGAGTAGCTTGTGTGCTCTGCCACATGTAAGTGGGTTCTTCTCTAAGGAGATCAAACGCATCATTACAGCCCTGATTAACAAAGCCAATCTTCTGGTTTCATTGGTCAGATGGGGAAATCTCCCAAGTGCTAGTACTGCTAAAATAAGATCTTGTTCACTGGAGATTAAGCAGAGCCTTCTCTTTCCAGGCATGTTTTGTTAGCAAGGGATTAACTAGGAACATTGACATTTAAGTTGTTGTCACTGCGCATTTGAGGCTAAGCACACATTAATTACAGGGCAGCACAGCTCTTGGTCGCAAACACAAAGCTGCTTTTTACAAAGAGGACACAAGGTTGCACATGGGCAGCTTGGTCTAATACTAAATGGGGAGGTTGGTGGTCCTGCATTTGGCAGTGGGGTTGGAGATTCGTGATTCTTGAGGTCCTTTCCAACCCTGGCCATTCTGTGATTCTGTGCACATCCCTCCATGTGTGAGGAGCGATGGACACGCAGGGCACTCCAGCAGGAATTTCAGGGGACAGGAGTAGTCCTCTCCTGTAGAGGCAACCTCAGTTAACACCCTGTTTAAGCGAACAGGGTAGTTTACACCGATCACAGCTACTGCAGTTCCAGCTACTCTGCACAGTCAGGCATCAGCTTTTCACATGTAAGCAATGATTAGAGCTTCTTTGATTGCAGAGCCATATCCATCCCAAGAGAAATTAAAAAGAGGGGGGAAAAAAAAAGGATGATGCCAGTTCAGTGATGGGGTGTGCAGTCCTGGTGCTCAGAGTGACAGGCAGCATTCAGCCGGGTGTTCTTCCATCCTGAAAGGTCCTCCCGTCAGCATCGTGCCTGGGCACCTCAGATGACTGTGAATTAAATCAGCTCAAAACATCAGCACAACCATCCATCAAGTCTCATTCACACTCGACTTCAAATCTCATTACAAGCCAAAAAGGCACAGTTCTGTTATTGTCCCAGCGCTTCCAGCACAAACGCATTCAAACCACCGCAAGAGAAATGGTGCCTCGGCACACTGGCATACAGCTGCAACAGAAAGCGCTTCTCCAGTGCGATTGTTCAGCTCCATTTCATGGAGAGAGTTGCACAGGGGGAGGGCTGCGTGGCAGGGAGAGAAACAGAGAAACACGCCAGGCTACGCAGAGCTGACAGGGAGAGCGGGAGGAGCGGGGAGGCGGGCGGGGAGAGCGGCGGGCAGGCGAGCAGGGAGGGAGACGGGGCAGCCGCAAGAGGGAGAGGGGATGCCGCAACGACACCTCCAAAGCAATAAGAGGGGGGACTTCAAGAAGCGTGCGTGTGGGAAGGTGGAGCAGGAAAAGGCCGGGGGCGAGCGGCAGCCCGGCAACGCAGCCACCTCGGCCTCCCCCGGCCCGTGCCGCGCCTGCCCCCTGGCGGCTAACTCTGCGTGCGGTGGTGCTGAGCGGCGCCGCCCGCCCCGCCCGCTGCCAGGCCGCGCCGCGCTAATGGCGGCCTGCCCCGAGGGAGCGGGCAGTGAGAGCCCCCGCGCGGGGCCTGTCGCCGGGCTGCCTGACCGGCTGCTCTTGGCTTCTTCAGAGCAAGGACGGGATCTCTTCCCGCCCAACCTCCGCCGCTGGAAGTTTTTCAAGAGACAGTAGATGAAAATAGCTGCCCAAATACATGGAGTATTCTGAGACTGAACAGCTCTTGGGATGGGGCATCCACAGCTTCTGTAGGGAGCCGGTGCCAATGCTTCATTGCCCTCTGAATGTACAGGACATTCCTCACTCGATCTAAATCTCCCTCCTTCAGTTTAAAACCATTTCCCCTTGTCCTGTCGCTATCTGATGGACGTCAGCTTGCAGCCCAACAGCAGCAGAAGACATGAATCTGCCCTGAACCTCCACTCTCAGCATAGGCAGAAACCATAGGTTCATATAGGGCAATCCATAGGTTTGTCCCATGGATAAGGGACACGGGCGCTGCCATGACAAAGGCCACAATGCTTGAACGGCTCTGATTCTTGCAGCAGTGGAGGGGAGCATCTTCACCTACAGGAATAACAAGGGGTGGCCAAGCTATTCTGATTCAACCAGCCAGTGGAAACTTTGTGCCTTTTTTTTTTTTTTTTTTTTTAACCCTGAAAGCAGGAGAAACTGGATGGAGTGGAAGAAAAGCAAGAACATGTTATATTCTGCTATAACTCCTCCTCCTCCCCCCCCTTTAGAGCCTTTTATCATACACCAGCACATTACACATTAACCCTATGATTAGGATGAATAAAGGCAGTCCCCAAAGGATCACCTCTCCATGAGAGACTTCCTCCTCTTCCTCCAGACAACATAAGTAACATGAGAGGCCAGCTGATCCCCAGAGGGCAAGAATCACTCTGGGCTGGGTGCTGGAACACTCGTGCCAAACACCAGGCCTGAAGTTGACTACATGCCAGAGTGGGTACAGAGGGAAGCAGCCACCATGTGTTTACAGAAGGAGGGTGCAAATTGGCCTCCAGGGTGAGCTACTCTGCTATTGTCGCTGTAGCTCTGGGGTGGGGGAAAGACCTCCAAGGGAGGGAACTACCAGGCAGGCAAGTATCTGCCATCTCCTAGGGGGAGAGGATTCAGAGCTGAACTGTCTGAGCCTATTAACAGCTGATGGTTCCTGTAGATACATACTGGCACAGGGGTTTACTGCAAGTAGCCCGCTTCCATCTCTAATACTGCCTTCAGACCTTTGAGCCCAGCCCTGTGAAACACCCTTCCCACTACACTCCACAGTGTCTCTCACTGACAATTCTATTTTCATACCGGGAGACCTGAAGGGTGGTTTGCAGTAAATGGAAAGAGCTGTGTACATTTGCATGGTTGCATAATCATGTTATACATGGATCTTTCGAACGCAGGAGAGCAGAGCGAGAGAGAGGAAATTGGAACGCCACAAGCAGGAGCTAAAAGCCAGATTTCTCCACGAGATCAAGGAGTAGATGTAAAGTCAGTCAGATGGAGAAATGCCTGAATAGCTCTTCCAAACAGCAAGAGTTGCAGGCTTAGCTTGAAACATAAACAAAGCAAGATGTTTCTGGGGGCTGGGCAGGTTTTGTATAAACTCTATTTCCTCTTCCATCATTGAAACCGGATGAGAAGAACAGCCTGTAGTTTGCATCTTTTGCCTCTCCAAGGGCTTACACAGGGCTCATTTTCCAGGACTGTCAGACCAGGACCCTTCACAGACACTATATTCACTGCACACAAAGAAAAATCATTCACAGCCATGTGGCCAAATGAGAAACTGAAGCTGAGAAGCAGTACTATGCATTCTGGAATGATATATATTCTCCTCTTACTAAATCCTCATTTACCAACATTGGAAGCTTTCCCTTTTAGATTTGTCACAGCCCCCAGCCCAGGTCACCTGAAACATAAGTACTATTAAAAGGAAGGGGCAAATTTTCGCAGAAATGAAGCATTTGTGATACAAGAGATGCTGAAAACAAGCAAGTGTAGCACGTCTTTAAGGATGAAAAATTTACTTTGAAAACATGGCCCATCTCTCTCTCAGCTGCTGTAAAATTGCCACCACACCTCCCTTACTGACATCAGAATGCATAGCAGGGTAACAGAAGGGTGAGAATGTTTCCACAAACATTTTGTGGTCCACTTTGTTACCCTCGTACTGCTGCAATTTGTTTTTTAATCTAGGACGCTCACATATCCAAACTGTTTGAAATGTTTAAACATCTGAAGAATTTCTCAGCTGCTTCCTCAAGTGTGAAGTCAAACACAGCCTATCCTGCAGAAAAAGGGAGAGTGGGAGGACATGTTTTTTTAAATGTTGTACCTCCTCACCTCCTTTGCACAGTCTGATTACTTGCTCGGAGTAGGTAATAAGTACTGTATTTAAAGGAGATCTCTCCTCAGCAGAAAAGGATGAGGGAACAACAGGTGCCCAATCTGAATTAACTATCTTACCCCTAGGTGCAAAGCTGTCATCACAAACCCTGAACCTGTTACACAGAATAAAAGGCTAACAGGAGAGGCACGGGAGTGCATTCCCAAACAACCTGCAGCATACGGCAGCAAGACCCTGCAGGATTACCAGTGGCACAAAGCAAGACTGCAAGGGGCTGGCTTCCTTTTTACACTTGGGCCTTTTTGCAGCATTCTGGAAGTGTGAAGAGGCAACAGGCAAAGTGCAAACTTGGCCCACTGTGCTCACATTAAATTCCTTGACACGGGGCATTTTGCGCGAGTGGGATAGCTGTCAGACATAGCCTCTGAGGACACATTCCTCAGTGGGCTCCGGCTGCTCAGGAAACCTTGGGTGCCTCTTCCAACCCAGGCAGCTCCCAACTACTTACCTCTTACTGCGGTGTCAGATTCTGCCTGCTGCAACTGCACCACAAAGCATAGGCATTCATCCCTACCTCCATGCGCAGTGCAGACACAGTTTAGCTAAATGCATCCTTTTACAACCTCACACTCCCCAGACTGAAATGTGTTAGACTGTCAGTAGCCCCACAAGCAGGACTGAGAAGCAAGCAGAAATGGGTATGTCCACAGTACACGTTGTTATGAAAAGGAGAGATACCTGAGCTACCTGTAAATTACTTCATTCAGGTTCTAGAAGCAGGCCAGGGGGCACATACAGATGCAGTAAGACAGCTGCAAGCCACTTTACATAAAACTTGATGCATTTGACACTAAAAAGGATGGGTCTGAGATTTTACAGGAATACACCGCAAAACCATTGCTTGAGATGTGACGGGCCAAGTTGCTTGCAACACAAAGATGAACAGAACCTTAGCACAGAATTTCCTACTAATTTTCTGGTGGAGATGTACAGGGGAGGAACATGACAGCATATTTTCCAGCATGAAAAATTTTACTTTATGGCCCGGACTGTGCCACATACACCTCATAGACTGAAAGAAGGATCAGGTGCTAAGCACGGGTAAGGTCAGAGCACGACTCAGTGACAGAACTTTTGAGGACAAGCTGCTACAAAGCTAACATCCCAGCAGCTCATACCACGCCTCAGGCAAAGGCTTCACCTGAAGTCACAAGAAGGAAGAAATGAGGAAGGAAGGTGAATTGGTTTGCTCTGAATTGCGCAGAAGTTTCTCTTCCACTTGTGAGTGAACGTATCTTCTGTATCACAGACAAAGCACATTTGGAAACCCATAAGAAACAGGCTCTGTCCACTTAAATCATGTTCTACATGAGGAGCTGCTTTTTGCTGCAGTAGATCTCCAGTCAGGAGAGCTTCAATAACAGCAGGACATCCCAGAAGTACCAAGCTGTTTGGAACTGGTGATGTCTAAGGCTTACACTAGGGAGAATGCGTACCAAGGAATCCACCACACCAAACAGCCATATAAATCCTCCCCACTGCAAACTAGCCATCCAGTTATTCGTGGTCCATAAGTAGTATGAACACCAACAGGGAGCTACAAAATCAACGTAAGCCTTGACAGACAGCTGGACAGAATTCCATACCAGGATAATAGTGAAACAGAGCTGCATGATGCACCCAGCATAGGAAATGGCTTTCCTTTTTCAAAAATGTTAACCAGCATAGATGGAACAGAAGCAGACAAATAGCAAACATCTTCAAGTCAAAGTGCCAAGGGAATAACTCTTGGGGTAACTGGATCCACTCTACAATGAACGCTTTCAGTCATCTTTGCAGTGATGGCAAAGAGGAAAAAAAAGCAGAAAGAATAATTGGAAGGACAGGTGGCATGAAAAGCCTAGGGAATTGAATACAATTGTCAAGATTTGATTCCTCATTCATACAATGGCTAATATTTTTTGTTGTTGTTGTTGTTTAATCTATCGGCAAAAAAAAAGATGTGAAAACATGAATTTGTAGACAGGGGGAACACCCTGTAGAACAAAAAGTCCTGAAATTTTCCAAACTGAGGGCCAGAGCTCCTTTAAAGAGACATTTAATCAAAAGAAAGAAATGGAGCTAGTCAGATTTAATTTGATAAAAAAAGGGATCCTATTGTTCTAATGTTATTTTGTTTCACTGATGTTTTGAGAAATTGGCTCCCTCTGGTTTGGATTTTTGAAGACTGACATGGGGCAGATAGGACAAATGAAGGAAGCCTGTAAGACTATAAATGGAATAGAACTGTTGTTTCCATGCTCAGTTATGTGTGGATCTTACATTCTTACATACCAGAAAAAAAGAAAAGGGGGGTGGGGGTGAAACTGTTGACAAAGAGCTGAGAGTGTGTTAGTAAATCTATGGTAGGATGCATCCAAGAATGCTGTAAACACTCAGAGCTTGGCATTAACTTAAAGAACTGCAATACAACAGCCCTGAAAATATGCAGCTAAGGGCACGTAGAATAATGTAATTTTTTCTATGGTGTCACTTGTGGCCAAGCGTGTGATTATAGTAAATATCTGAAGCCAAGGATTCTACTACCCTCTCCTGCCAACGACTATCATAATTCCCCAAGGTAGTGGGAATCCACCTCTTTCACTTGCCTCCTATGGAGCCTCTCCTCTTAGGTTTAACCTTGAACCCAAATTGCAAGACCTCCATTCTTAGCACGTAATTTTTTTTTAGTTACTTCTATGCACATCAAGTTTTCTATCAAGCTGACACTTCCATCTTTACCAGAAATTTTCCAAATTTCTTATTTCACTATTTAAATGTGAAAATGTACACTTCATAAGAGATGAGCTCCGCCACGTCAGAGATCTCACACTCACCAACCTGTCTCAATAAATACTCTGATGGGTATTTATTTTACTTAACCTTAAGCCAAAGCAGCTCAGCTTTGTTGTGTAGACGGTCCTTATATTTTCTTGTTTTTGTGAATTTGTATACAGATAAACAGCATTCATGATCTGACATTTCACTTTGATTGCGAGTTGCTGTAATTAAGAACCACAGCTTTATGAATTTTAATCATCAGCTGTAAGTGGTACATTATCTCTAGTTCACAATGAAAGCAATCAAGTGGACAAGATATTTTTAGAGACATTACTGTGGTAATATTACATTAAGTAGCGGTTAGTACACTATTTTCACACCCAGTGATTTCACACATTAATGCAGCTATAGATCAGCGTTAATGACAACGGAAAGTTATTTTTCAAGTAGTATGAGAAGGGTGGTTGAAAGACCTACTGGGATTTACACTTCAGCAGCAGGAGGGGCACCTCAGCAGGGCTGCAGATGAAGACACTCCAGCAGCAGGGGCTGCTTCCACTTCTGCTAGGACAGAGGCAAAAGCCCCAGCTGTCCTGAGTGGATGTGGGTTAACAACAGGGGCAACATTTTCTTCCTGCCTCTTGAGAGGAAAAGGAAGACAGGAGAGGAAAGGAAGGCAAAGTACCCTGATGCTGGCACTGAACCCCGGAGCTGGTGAGAAATCACATACCACATCTTGCCCAAGGCTGCCACTTAAGCAACACAATACTTCTCCTTTCTAGGAGGGCACAGTGCAGAACAAATCAGAAACACCCTAAGGCTTGAAGAAAAAAGGCAGGCAGTCTGGCACATTTTAAAGTTTCTGTGTATGCTACTCCACATGGATACAACACTGTCTAGATAAACCCATAAATACACACTTCTTTCCTTCAGGGAAAAGGAGGGACTAGGGTACAAGGCACACTGCCTCAAGAGGTGCACATTTAAGATAGCGTTGTCTCACTGAAGGATAGCAGATCATCTGAAGACTGTTTGCTTGAAACTAGGGCTAATGAGAAACTGTTCCAGGAAGGAGAAATTCTTCCTTCTTCCTGGAGTCTCAGATCTGGGATAACAGCAGAAGATCCAGAAACCTCACCCTGACCTGCAGGCCATTCTTTTTTTTTTTTTTCCTACCACAGAAGTCCTATGAGGATGACAGAACTGAGTTAGAGAGCTTGGGAGCTAGCTCTGCCAAAGAGTACATCGTATTGTCCATGTGGCATTGTGGCAGGTAACTTGTCACAGCATCTTGGATTCTGCTGACAAAGCGCTCGTGACAAACCAGTTAAGCTCCACAGACAGTGGCACTTCAGAGACAGAACTTGTTGATACCAGCATCATGGCACAACACTGCAGCTCCAGTTCAAGTCGTCTGGATTCACGTGTCAGCTCCTGATCGTAGGTCATTCGAAGACTTTAGAAGGGACCCAGACGCAGTAATAAAGTGTTATCTTTTGTCACTTTCCCCTCACGCTGCATCTTTATATCCAAACAGGCCAGTCCCTACATTTAGTCAAGAATTACTGGACATTGGTCAAGAAAGATTGGACCACCACAGCTTTGTGACAGAGTAGCAGTATGGAAACACTACTTAGACTTTACATAAATTAAAAAAGAAAGATCCAGTAAGATGCTTCCTCACTGCTTAGCTTTTGAGACACTACTAGTGTATTTCTTCATGGAGAATAAAATAGTACAAATGTTTCGTGATATACAGACGTCTTTTAAGTCTGTTTCCATAAACACTGCAGTAAGGCACAGGCAATTTCCCCACTATAGATATCTAAGTCCACCTTTGCAGCAAGCACTCTTTTCCCCCCTTAAGGCCACATTCCCAGCTTTTCCCACCACCCTTCCTGGCAGCAGCTTAGCAGCTCCTCTCCACTGTTTTTCCAAACACATAATTTGAAATTAATGGCTTACCCTGTGCTCAGGCCTGCAGATTGAGGCACCTACTTCATCTGTATCCTCTGCCAGCATAGGAAAAAAAAAGAAAGCAATTGCTTCTTCGTTAGGTCAGAGTAAGAATGATTTACATATCCATCTATTCCCATAATTAAAAAGAGATGAAGGTGATAATAGGAAAACATTAACAGTACAGGCAGGATAAAGTCCATATCTGAGTGAGAGCATTCTTAATTATATACCCAAGCCTATACATAAAGAAAGGGCTAAGCTTACAGCACGTGGGGCTTTCTTTCCCGCATCCTTTGGCCTTTCCAGAGTCAACTGTGTGTAAAATACTAATTTGCCACCAGTTAGCATACCAATGTGTTTCTGCTAAGTGAGAGGGAGAGAGGGAGAGAGGGAACAGGCACCTTTCTCTCATTCCCTTGCACCAAAAGGGATTCTTCCTTTATGCTTCTGTACAAACAGCAAATGAAGTCAGTACCCTGTTTCTAATAGTGTGCATGGATGCTCCTGAAGAACATGCAGTAGCGTGCCCAAAGATCACTAAATCATGGGAAGTGAAGAGAACCACTGAAAACTGTGTAGTCCAATTACAGCCAGAGCCTACAAGAGCAGGCTGCTCAGAGATGTATCCAGCCAGATTTTTTAATCTTTGTAGATGTAGACTCCATCCCCCTTCCAACATTCAACACAGTATAAAAGTGTTTTCTTACGTTAAGAAGGAATTTCCTGCATTTCAGCTTGTGCCCGTTGCCTGTTGCCTTTTCACTGCATACCACAAGTGTTTGGCTTTGTCTTCTTTCTTCTCCCTCATCAAGTATACATACTCATTCATAAGATCCGTACGATTGCTTGCTCACATGTTTAGCTTGGCGTCCACTGAAACCTCCAGACCCTTGTCTGCAAAGCTGCTTTCCAGCCTCTTGGTCCCTTGCCTATACTGGTAGCTTGGGGTTACTCATGTCCAAGGACAGAGCTTGGCATTTGCCTTTGTTGAACTTCACAAGAGTCCTGTTGGCCCATTTCTGCAGACCGCTGAGGTTCCTTTCAATGGCAGCACAACCATTTCAAATCTGTTTTCTGCAGAGAGCTCTTCCTGATACCAAAAACTTAGAGGTTAGCATAAATCCTGATTGCAGATGGCATCATTAATTGAAAATTTCAAGTACTCCTCTTGCTCATTTGAAAGTCGTAGCTACCATCAGTGTGAGATCACTATATGACTCAAGAGGAAAAAGTAGTAAATCGTGAGAGCTGTTTTTTTCTCCCCCAAACAAACAAAACCTTCAAGGAACTGCCCAGCTTCCTATAGTGTCTGTATCTGTTCTAGAAGACTTAAATTGGCAGGCCTTGACTAAGTCAGTAGGGGAAAAATTTCTGACCCAATGTAGTTACTGCTAGCTCTCCATCAAGCTAGAGAGATGTGTCGAGCTAGATTTTTGTTGAGAACACTCTCTGAACTTGTATTATTCAGTATTTCATTAAAGAAAATAATGAAGGAATAGAGGCTGAGCTTATTAAATTTTTAGATGGCACCTTGCTGGGAGGGGCTGCAAATATCCTGGAAAACAGAATTAGTATTCAAAACAGCTTTGATTGTCTGTGAAGGTCCAGGGGGGGAAAAAATAAAAGATATTATTCAAAAAAAGACATGCAAAATATTACAGTTACTTATGAAAAATCAGCTATTCAAATGTAGATGGGGTAGGACTATCTACACAGGAGCTATGGTGCCAGCTCTGGAATAAAGGAATTTGAGCTTACCATGGAAGCAAGCCCAAAATTGAGGCAGCTTCCTACTAGCCCGAGCAGCCTCTAAGAGGCTCATCTGTTCTTTAAGAGCAGGGCAAATGTTGGTCAAGAACAGCAAGTACCACTACTCTTGGATAGGGGGATGGACTAAAAGGCAACTTAGTGGGTCCTTCAGTCCTGAGTTTTCAGCGATAGTGTATTGGACAAGAAGAGAAGTTTCACTGCCTGTTTTGGACCGATGGGCACCTGAGCCTCACCTCATCATTGCTGACAGACATCTCTGTATCCCTTTGAAGACAGATCTAACTCTGAGATGACAGAAAATAAGATAACCAATGACTATTGGTTCTGGAAGGTTCCTCTGGAATCTCTGATCAGTAAAAGCCTCTTCCAAACTTTCCACCTTCTCAAGACCCGTTTTTAACTTGTCTGTTTTATGCCATTTCATTTAATTAGTACTTCCCTCTTCCACCCCCCCACTTCTAACTTCTCTAGTCCCAGTATTTCAGTAATCAACAGTGTCATCAAGCTCAGGATTCATCGCTGAATAAGCCAAGTGCTTCTTAGTCTTGTGGCTACTCTACACAACACAGCTGCTTGCAGCACATGGTTTTGGGGCCTGGATCCCAGACCAAGGAGATTCTGTCTAGTCCTGTTACAAGAAGTTATTTCAGGTTGCTGCAGAGGAATACAAGCCATCTGTTGAACTCTATGCCAACTGTTTCAAATCTCTTTTGGATGCATACATCTTCCGTTTCTCAGATCATCAATAGCTGCTAATTATTTACCCTTTATTAAATACAGGTTTCCTCTGACAGATCAAATACGCCTATTATTTTTTGCAGCACAGGCAGTATAGTGGATAGTCCAAGGGCTTGTATCACCAGCTACAAATTGGTGATTAATCTACAGCAAAACAAAAACAATGAATGGAGCTTACAGTCTGCAATGGCCTTGAAAGCTTCTGGAATCTCTGGTGCCTGATGACCTTTTATGATTATTCTTTTCTAATCTCCCCTGGACACATCTCACCTTTTACTTTTCCACAAACAGACACAGTCTGATCAACTTTTTCTACAGCTGTCCCCATTCCTGCTGGCAATAGCTCATCCAAGGTGGCCAAGTCCCTGAGCTGCTCTCTAGCCATCTGTTTCTATAAGAACATCAGAGTAAGAAGTTGTGCTCTGATTTTACAGCCTGAACACCAGCCATTTAAATAGCACAACGGGACACATAGCTGCAGTGGAAGACTTGATTTCCAAAAGTGAAGTTAGTCTCTGACCACTGTTGAACTCATTGGAACTAGAGCAAGGACTGAGTTAGCCTAAAGAGCTTTCTCATGGCAAGTTTTTCTCAGGAAGCACACTGCTCTCTCCCCTCAACTATTGTAGCAGCTACTGAAAAATTCAGCTGGTTCATAGACAAAAAGGTGTGCCAGACCACTAAAAAACCTACCACAAGCAAGAGGCTTTAGCAAGACAACAGGTTTTTTTAAGCCCTGAAGAAATTCTGATTTGACTTTAATACAACCTGACTTTAATACAACTTTTGGGTGAACCAGAAAGAAAATTATAGATGTCAAATTAAGAAGAGCATCAGTGATCTGGGAAGATCCTTCTCCTGTGAAGAAATGACCCAGTAATACTTTGGGCACCTTCCTGACCTGTAAGATTCAAAATAAGAGGTTGTACATCTACTGCTATTTAAGACTCATTTCTTATAAAGCTTGAGGAAACAAAACTAACTACCATTAAAAAAAACAAGGGTCAGTTAGTGATAATTAAGTAGCACAGGGATCTATTAAAAAAACTTTGGAAATCAATGTTTACACTATGTAGCTACAAATTAACTGCAATGGGCATTGTTAAGAGACCATTTTTATAAGACAAACACCAAATGCATGCACATTAGAAGAATTCTGCCATGATTAGAAATCACAGTGCAACTCATTTTATCCCATCCCTAAATTAGAAACTTAATGCTTCAGTTTATTAACAGAAGGAAATCCTATTACACTCCATGTTAAGATACAGAAAAGCACTATTTCTATATTGCAGCTCTGAAAAAAAAGAAAAGTGGTTGGAACAGAGCTACTCAGTTACAGTTCAATGCTTCAGTGATTTAATAACTTGAATGAATTAACACGTATGGAGTTAAACATCTAAGAATCCTCCAGTGACAGCGATTTTTGAGAAACAAAGCAGCCAAAGTAATGGTGCTGGTAGTGACAAGTGCTGAGACCTTTGGAAGAGCTAAAGCCCTCAGAATGCAGCACCTTGAGCAAGAACCTGCTGTTTGTTGTCCGTTGAACTAACATGCAAGAAGTTCCATATTCCGTGCTGTTAAGGAGTCACTCCAAGCCAAGAATCCTAAAGAGCTTCCTATGAACTGTGATCTGATTTCTAGCTCATCAGTGCTGTTCAGCACAAACCCCTGCACCACAGCACCTCCTGGGAGAACTTCCAAAAGGCAAAGGTTCCCCAGGCTTCCCCAAGCTTCCCTGGGGAGCCACATTCAGCTACGCTTAGCTAACGGCCAGGGTCAAGTACATGCAAGCATTGTACTCCCTAATCAACAGCTTTGTCTCAGGTGCCCTGTGCTGTTGGCTGCATCCTCTGGACAACTTATAGTGTGGTTAGTTAGCAGAAAGCTTGCTTCTGGCAGCCACTCTGATACAGCTACCACCTACGACTATCACCATGTATTTGCAATTTACACCCTCCCACTGCCCTCTGAAATTTGGAAAACATGAATCTACTTTCTCTACAGCAGTGCCTGCAACAACTATCTAGAGTGATCATGAAGCCTTCCCAGTGCATGCCTTTTCTATTGTTTCTTGCTGTTACTATGCACATATACCATTTGTGAAACATTACCGGTCCCTGGCTGCAAAACCACATTAAGTTTTTGTTCAACCTTGTTTACTTATCTCACCAAACCCACACAGATTTTATCAGTCTCTGCTAACACAGGTGTGACAATTGACTGCAACTGAGCAGTGCCAGACATGTAGTAGATGGACACTGCTCCCTTTCTGGTGATATTTTGACATTACTTCTCACTAGTGAGGCAGATGTAGGCACTGGGAACCAGCTGCAATGAACTTAAGCTTGTACTGAACTGTTCTCACTCACTAGACTGTTGTTCATCGAGACATACACGCACACGTATATAAAACGTCTAGTAAGAAGATAGTAGAGTATTGCTCCTTATGATGCTATAGTGCTTTCCAGTAATGGCTGCCCAGTGATATGAAAATGGCTCCAGAGGACTCCCATATCAAGCTGATGCAAGCCAAAGTTAACTTCCTTCTGGAGGGTGAGTGCTTTCCACTAGCATACATTCCTCCCTGTAATATCACCTGCTTTTCTGACTGTGACAGTTTGAAACAGCTCATACCACCTTCAGGCTCTAAATAGCTTTCTATATCTTTAAATTATTCTCCTGCAATGGGATTGGTTTTCTTCATGCCTCAAAGAAGTGGTATCTAAATCGTTTTTAAACTGAAACAGACTGAATAGGCTGTGCAAATCATTTTCTACCAGAACCTTAATTATATCCTGCAGTGTCTCGTCCTCAGCAAACTGCTAGGAAAAAAAAAAAAAAAGTCTGCATTTCATTTGAGAACCAACAGGGCTGGGTTTTTTTTTTGTTTGTTTGTATTTTTGTTTTCCTCAATTGACATATACATAATCTAGCTTGGGACTTTGTTCCACAGCATTTTTGTCAAAGGCTCTAGAGAGCGTGCCTGCAAATACTAAATCTTTCTGAGGTTCGCATTCAATTTGCAAGTTATACAACTCCAACTAAAGAAAGAGGCATTCTGTTTGCAGCAAGGTGTTTTCCAGATCCCCACTGGCAATGGCAAGAAGTGATTTACGATCAGCTTTAGTTAACGTGGCCTCTCAAACAGGTCTTAAAAAGCCTTTACAGCCATGGCCTAGTGCCAAGGCCTTTTCCACAGGAATTCGGTCAATTTTATTTCATATCGGTGCCATAGGATGCAACTGCAAAGGCAAGTGGTACAATATTGAATGCAGCCCCTCGATGAAGCAAGGGACCCAGCACCTGCTGAATCTACCAGATTTACCATCACAGGTCTGTACATCTTTCTGTTGGTTGTTCAATGCAGGGGTGACTTAATCCCTTGGCTAGCTGAGGGCTGAATTCATGACTCACTTTTCTGGCAGATTCAGGATTTCATCAGGACTGAACTCCGAGTTCTCCTGCAGTTGTTTTGCCCAATTCAGTAGCTCCACATGACCTGCAGAATTACAAGAGCATTTTTCAGTCTTAGGTTGAAGTCTCTAGCCTTTACTGGCTCTCATTCTGGTGTGATGTTTCTCGTGCAGTGCTCCAACTGCTCTCATTAGCATCCTTTGCATAAAGCAACAGAATATTCAATAGCAAACATCCCCAAGCCAGGTACTGAATGCAAACAGATTTCCTGATCCATACCAGTGAGAGTCCAACACTTCCACAAGGCGCAGTGTTCGAGGACACAGCTTAGAGCCAGAGCAAAAATAAGCTTCATGAGTAGCTCCCTAAAAGTCATGTTCCTTACTGAAGGAAAGCCTGGGCCCAGACCCACAAGTCTCAGTAATGTCAACCACAAGTGTTGAACCTCAGCCACCCATAGAGCTTCCTTCCTCCCTCCGCTGAGACTAACACTCTTGAACTTGACTAGACCCACTGATGACCAAAAGTATAATTTACAGAAACAGTCATAATAGCTACCTCACACTTATTGAAAACTTCATATCTGGGTATTTCCCCTTTTACTAGAACCCTTTTTTCTTTTTTTAATCTGCACATAAATTTTCTCTAGTTCCTCTAGTGTAGGTAGGATCAGCCTTCACTCGCAGTACTGTCGTAGTCTTTATCCTGTGTAGAGTGCTAGCACTAAAGAAAAAACTCTCTGTTCCACAGCTGCATGCTAACTGCTTGCAAGGCAGCATAAACTGGTATGTAAGACAGCCAATTCCAGTCAGCTACTGAATGAATCTTGTAAAGGTACTAGGCCCATATGCTGAGGCACAATGATCCTCTTACAGCACACCGTCTTGATAACATGGGAGAAGAAGAAGGAAGAAAAAAAAAACCTCCAACTTTTAAGAGGAGGCAGTGATGGAATCTGGCTCAACTAATGAGCTTTGGTAGCACTGTGCCACCTCAAAAGCACAGAGACAGCAAGTGCAATACGATCAGTAAGAAAAATTCACCAACATCCAAAGAATTCACAAAACCTAGTACATTCATTTAGCATAAAAGAATGAACTAAGGGAGAAAATCCTCCCTTGCACAAGTAAACAGTAGCAAGTAGAAGAGCCAGATTATAGCTTTGAGAGAAATTCAAGATCTAGAAAGCATTTTCTTTAGATCAGGCTTATAACCAACTTAGAGAACTATTCCTTTCCCAAGCACCCTTCTTTTAACCTATGCTGAATATGTAAAGCAAGGACACCAGACTTACAGCCAAGTGGTTTTCCACTCCAGGCACATGGAACACGATGAAAGTAAATTTGTGGGTGTTTGCACTTGATTTGGCAGAGAAAAACTGAGGGAGGGAATGTGATTGAGGGAAGGTATCAAAGATCAGAGCCAGATGCTCCTTCACAGAGCTCTGGACTTGTAGGAAATTAAGAAGGTAGAGAAGGTGAGGCAAAGGGTGTGTTTGAAGTGAGAGTCAAGGGGTTCTAAGGCCTACAACCATCCAAGGTGCTTGGGGGAAACTACAGCGCATGCCAAAACCACACCACATTGGCCTGAGGTGCTTTCATTACACAAAGCCTGGGAGAGCAGAGACTGTAAGTGTAGCTTCAAAAGGAGCTTCATCTTGAAGTCTTAACTCTCAGGACCTATTAAACATTTATGTTGACTACCACTCCTACTCTTTGCCTCAGAGAAAGCACCCAAAATAACCTTTGCTACTGAGCAAACTACAACAGTTCTACCAGCTGTGTAACAGACTTGTAGGGAGCAGAGAGATACAGCCAGAAACAGTGTTGGAACAACAACGCTAACGACTCTATTCAGCAAGCTGGGAAAGAAGGAAGAAAATTTGATCTGGAAGCTGAAGGAGATGGAAAGCAATGCTAGGAAAAAAATGGACAAGTTAGCTTTTGTAGAAATGTCTAACACTGAATGAGACCATTGGATGTATACATTTAAGTATCAGTAGTTTTTCTTTAAGCTACCTTTTTGTTCACTTTTTGGGGGAATCTTCGAACTAGCCTCTAACATGGATGTGTGACAGCCACAGCTGTATAAGGGTCAGTGGAAGAAAATGGAAAGAGATTCTACACAGGGAAAGAAGACAGAAGGTCTCTGGCAGGAACTGGAAAGAAGTGATTAATTTCCTGATCTGTTCAAAAATACTTTGCCCACACAACATGAGCTTGGGATGAGGCAGAGTTACTCAGGCTCTTCATCATAGGAAGCTGTTACTACCAGTAGCAGATAATGCATCATTCACTCAATCTCTTGTAGTTCAGTTGGAGGACAACTCCAGCTGTACATTCAGAAGGTTGTGCTGACCCTAACAACTTCAAATTAGGTGTACAAAAAGCCCTTCAAGGTAATTTATTTCAAGGGTTGCACACATAAACCTCTTGTCTTTGTACGCAGAAACCCCTGCCCTCCAGTCACAAAATTCACTGCTGATATTAGCATTTACTTCTAGCCCTCCACAGATTCAATCTGCACGTAGCGCCTAAGTTTATCAGCTCTATGATATTCAGAAGAACTACTAGTCTCCACAATTTATCAATCCTTAAGAAACCTTCACGCTCCTCCTCAGCATATACTTTTCACCATTGGCTTGCTGTTAGGTAACTATTTCTTCAGTCTAACCTACAGATACCTACAACCATTTCGGTCTCATGCAGATGAGGCCTTTAAAATAAGTTTAGGTGTTGGCTCGTGTGGCTAATCACTCAGCCTTTACACTATAGATACCAGCTTAATTTAAGTGTAATCATACAATGTAATTGTATAATATTCATAATATTGAATGTATAATCATTCAATTATTGAGGCCCTGGAGCGGGTTCAAAGAAGGGCAACAAAGCTGGTGAGGGGTCTGGAACACAGGCCATATGAGGAGAGGCTGAAGGAGCTGGGAATGATCAGCCTGGAGAAGAGGAGGCTCAGGGGAGACCTCATTGCTCTCTATAACTTCCTGAAGGGAGGTTAGCGTGGAAGGGAGGTTAGCGTGGTGAGCTGGTCGGCCTCTTCTCTCTTATAACTAGTGGTAGAACTAGAGGGAATGGCTTCAAGCTGCACCAGGGGAGATTCAGGCTAGACGTTAGAAAATACTACTTTTCTCTCCTCTGAACGCAATCCAACAGCTCTACGTCTCTAAACGTAACGGCTCCTCCCAATGACCACGAGGCCACATCACCTTTCCCTCAGATCCAAGAGCAGCAAAAGCAGATCTGTACTAGGAAAGACAGCTTAAAGATCACATCTTTATACACAGACCACACGAAAAGCAAACAGGCTTTTCCACACTCTACCTTGAGAAGAAGCAGCAATCAAATGATCCCACAGGACAGCGTCTGCCTATGCCCAGCCTTTTTAGAGGTGCGGCGGGAACTACAGCTCCCATCGAACCGCGCCGCGGCACGCAGCCCTCGCTTCCCGCCGCCATGTTTATGGGGCCGGCGGCCGCCGCCATCTTTGCTTAGGGAGTCACCGCCCCCCGGCGGCGGGGAGCGCAGGTAGCCGCATGGGGCGGGCGGCGCTGGCGCTGTGGACGGTGGTGGCCGCCGCTGCCGTATGGCCTTCGGGAGCGGCGGCGGGGGGGCCAGCAGGTGAGCGAGGGAGGGGAGTCGTGGCCTGGTGCGGCCGGGCTGGGGATGCAGCCGCCGGTGCATACGGGTGGTAGGGAACAGCACGCGCCCTGAAGGCAGGGAAGGGGCCGGCTCTCCACGGTTGCCTTTTATAGGGAGGGGCTGCCAGTCCCAGCGCCCCCTCAACCCGCATCTGGTGGCCCGGCGGTGGGCACCGCTGGGTCCCCGGCCTTCCCTCCCCCTCCCTCTGTTGGCGGTGGGCAGCGTGCTCCGGTGAAGGATGTCATCTCCTCACTGCCAGCGCATCCCCTCGCGCGTACAGAGGTAGCGATGTGAATGCCTCCCATCTGTCAGCTGGGGAAAACTGGAATTTGTTCTTTCTCTCTGCCTTCATCACTTAACTGTAGCAAGAAAGTCATTTCAGAGATCAGGGGAAAGTGCAGCAGTTCCTTGTAGTTATTACGGGATGCAGCTACCTCAAACACAACAGTTGTGCTTCTCTAATGTGCACTCAGGGAGCCCAGTTTGGTTACACAGCCTGCAGGCAGCAAGGCTGTGCTAAAGGAACCGATGCCACTGCTCAGCAGGCAGTGTCAGTGGGCTGAAGGGTCAGGACTCCACCAGCAGGGGCAGGGGCAGTGTCAGGCACACTCTAGTTCAGCTGTGCAGGCTGAAGTGTGCCCCGGGATCATGGTGCCTTGCTATTGCCCTGCCGCCAGCTGGAGCAGAAGTGCTGCTCAGCTTCTGCTGGTTGCTCTGGTTGTTCAACAAATTAACCCCTTTGCCTTTTCTGTGTATTTTAGATGCCAAGTGGAAAAGAATAACTGATCAAATTAACAGAGCTGTAGAAGTCTATAAGCCATGTGTAAAGGAGAATTGTAGCTGCCACCAAAGGTAAGAGATTGGTTTCCTTTTTACTAGACAGGATTATGGCCATGATCGCAGCACGTAACGCACTGATGGATAGGAGTTAGTTGTAGAATATTTGGGCTCTAATGTAGCACATCTGCAGCCATACGAGGAGTTTGTTAATGGCTTTGTGTGAAACTTCCATAGTTTCAGCACAAGTTATGTCCACCCGCAGATTGACCACCATCCTTGTAGTCCTCTGTCACTGAACAACATAAACTGAATCAGCATCTCATACATAATCACACAATAATTCCATACACAGCTGGTGATATTTCTGTATTAGAAATTCACTCTGCAATCTCTCTCTGGTACAGTGTTAACAAGTTTTTCTGATGGACTTATAAAATTGAAGGAAATAAGTGCTTGCAAAATATTTTAAAATAGTTTAAGGATCATTACAGATCACATATTCATTTGGCATGATGCTGTGTGGTACTTGTTAGGGAACACTAGTATTCTACAGTGACAGGCATTACTAAAGAATCCAGAAAGATAATACAGTACTTACACTGTATGACACTAAGAAATTCTATTCGTTTTGATAGCTGATCTGGAGATATGCAAATGTGCAGCAGAGCAGTCAAAGTCAATCCTTTTCCTTAGATAACAGATTCTACTTGTGTCAAATTTACACTGTCTGGGTGGCCAAGCACTATAAAACTCTTCAACTTTTTTCCTGTTCTCCAGCTTGTTACATTTCATCCCTGCTTATATACTTTGTAGGCCTGTAACAATTCTTTATGTAGTTTACATTTTTCTGTCTGATACAGAATAACAGAATCATTGAAGTAGGAGGGGACCTTTTGAGATCAGAAAGTCCAACCTCCCTGTTCCAGCGGGGCCACCTGGAGCAAACAGACAGGACAGGTCTAATCAGACCAGAGACCTCACAACCTCTCTGGGCAGTCTTTGCCAGTGTTTGATCACCCTCCTGTTTGATTCAAGCCTTTCAGATGGGTCTGTGCAGTGTAGCATTAAACCAAGCCATTGATACAGTCCTACTAAAAAGTAGAGGGGAACTCTCCTTGACTGTTACAGTCTGAGAGCAATTGTTAGCTGCTCCAAGCAGTTGGATGTGGGGGCCTTTAGACTGTATATAAACTGCATTCTGTGCCTGTATTTTGACATATTGGTTAGGTTTATATTTTCATAGTGCACTCTAGGAACTCACCAATGACATGCAGATATCACAGAATACACTCTACATAGGCTTGTTCTCCTGGACTAGCTTTCTTTGTATGCAGCATTACCCAGTAATCCTTGTGACTAGACTATTACTTTCTTTTTTTTAATGTAAGTGCATAACATTTAGTGAGGAATTTGGCCTTGGTGTGGCCCATCGTTGGAAATCCAGAACACAAGCTTCAGAACTCTAAAATTTAAGTGAACTGAAAGGCTTTCAGCATTTGTCCATAACCTGTCAGGGTCTTTAAGGCCTGTTTGGTTTTTGGAAGAATGACTACAGTGAATCACATTGATTTAGTTTGAAAGTCCAGTGCTTTCTGTTCAGGCAAACAGCACATAGATCATCATAGAGCAAAGCTGGGACTTTGGAGTCTCAGAGTAGTGGCTGTTTCAAGTGACTTAAGTCGAATCCTGTTATGCCACGTGTAGCAGAACTGGAAGCCACATAGAGCTTGTCGTAACTAGAAACCTCTCGCGAATGCTGCAGTAACTTAATGTGCAGCATCTCCCTGATGTACCTAATGATGGCTAAGTGTTTTGTTTCAGTGTCTGGAAACAGGACCTGGCTCCTTTTCAAAGTGGCATTTCCAAAGAGGCAATATCAGACGTGGTGAGCCGGAAGCTCGGGACGCACTACCAAATCATTAAGAACAAGCTGTACCGTGAACATGACTGCATGTTCCCTGCAAGGTAAGAGCCATGCAGAAGATCCTGTCTCCATACCTGGGATGTGAAAATAATTCCAGTACTTCCAACCCTGCCAAGTTGCAAGTCACTGAGCATAATGGTATGTCTTTTCAAAGTCTCGATTCCTTATCAGGACAGGAGCCTAGGAGATTATATCTGAGGACTGAATGTAGGCAAGATGTGTCATTGTTGCACTCCTGTATAAGAGTGCTAGTTGACTGTGGGATCCCAGAGAAAGATGCAGATCAAGTCAGGTTTAACAGGATGTGTTGCTACACACGTGTCTGTACTGTACTGGAGCTTAAAGGCTGCTATGGGCAGTTCCAGCCTGCACTGTGGTATGGCTCAGGCTTTCTGTTTCTACTGCTCCTGAGATGCACAGAGATACCTGCAAGACACTCAAGGATTCTTCCTTCTCCTTATGGCTCTTTGTGAGATGTGTCATTTCTCCACAGATGCAGTGGAGTTGAGCATTTCATTCACGAGATCATCAACCGCCTCCCTGACATGGAAATGGTGATTAATGTGAGAGACTACCCCCAGGTCCCCAAGTGGATGAAACCCATTATCCCAGTCTTCTCCTTCAGTAAGGTATGCACACCCTTAAAAGCTGAGCATTTCTGAAACACGCATGTCCTCTTTTCTCTTGGTAACGTATTTTTGAGGATGGTTCCCCACAGATTTCCTGTGTGTCAAAATTGTTCTTTTTTATTCTTTATGCTTCTTTCTGCTTCCAGTTTTCTAGTAGACAGACTTGCAGATTTATTTAACAGAACAGCTTTTCCCCTCATTAGCTCCTCTTTCAGGTCAAAAAAAGTATATCTACCACAGTGGAATGACGCGCAGCTGGACGGGATATGTGCCAACATCACTGTGATTTACTACAATGCCTTTGTTAAAATTGTAGCCATAGCTTGTCAGCACTGTTAAGGATTTTTCATTATCAGCCAGCTAAGTCGATGTGAATATTTCAGTTCTGTTTTTGGACCACAGATAAGTGTTTCATATCTTTTTTTTTTTCTGTATTAATGCTGTCACCTGTGAACCCCTTTCCTGTGGATTCTTCTTTCCATTTGCAAACATACACACACACAGAGCCAGACAGACTCACAGACATTTGCTTTCTGGTTCCCTCTTCCCACACTGGAAAGCCCTCCTGTATGTTTTCTTGCTTCTCCATTGTTAAATCTGACTGTAGGGTAGTGCCTCATCTTTGCCAACAAAATATCCTTACAACTCTAACTTTAGGAAATCTTGCTGTGTTTTAGTGTATCCCCAGCATGCCCAAATTCTACAGTCCAGATCACGGCCCCATACTTGGCTGAAGCCCAGCAGACCATAAGATGCAAAAAGAAGCAATAAATCATTTCTTCTTGCTTGGTCAGACCCTGTTCTATTTCTGCTAAATTACCCTAAAAACCCAGGTCTTCAGCTTAAACAGTCTGAACTCTAATATGATCCATAACCTTTGCCTAGTCCCCAGGCATCCTGAAACTATCTTTAGAATTTCAATGCAGCATTGCAAGCACTAACATTCAAGTGCTTGGTTTGTTGTTGTGTCCTGTCCAGTTCTGAGCATTTTCAGGAACAGGATGTCAGCGGTACCTCTGGGCACATGCTCTGTATCAGAATGAAAAAACATGTTTCCCACTATTAAACTGGAATTTCTTTATTTGTAATAACAATCTGTTTCCAGTTAGTCTGTCTCAGTGCACTTCTGAAGAGTCTGCCTCTGTCTTCTCTGGGTGCTACTATTAGGTCGCAAAAGACAGCATTTAGATTCCCCCAAGCCTCCTTTTCCTGTGCGTGAACAAACCCAGTCCTCAGTTTCTTTTCATACGTCATGTATGCCAGATTCCTAACTGGAATCTAGACATGGAGGTTCTCTACTATCTCCAGGTGACAGGTGGATAATTTGGATAGAAAGTTTATTATTAGTGCAGAGAAGCAGCCTGTAGTCTGGGTTCGTGGAAGCATTTAGTCTTACTGAAGTGCTCGTTTTACTTCTGATTAAATGAGGATTTAAGCCTTAAGATAGGAATGAGGAACTGGAATTCTTACATGACCTGGATGTTTGTTGTGGTGAGTTGTCAAGCAGTCGGTGAGAAGGCTGGAATAAATTGAATTGCTGGAAACTTAAATGTCAAATAGTTTACAGGTGCTTGTATCACAGGGAAATAATACCTCTTAGCTTATGATCAGTAGAACTTACTTGTAGCTACACACAGACAGAAGACTTTAGAAAGTTGAGCAGAGCTTAGGTGTCATGTTATTTACTGTGATCAGCTATATCATGGATCTTTGTTGTTTTCTAACATAAAAGTTTCATGTTGGCAGCAAGACATAGCCTTTTCAAAATCTTTTTGTTGGAGAGGGTCTTCAAGCTTGTCCAGTGGCCCACTCAGAGCAAATATGCATGTTGAAACACACTGGCTTTTCTCTGTTGAGTTGTGTTCATATGAGCCCCACCTGTGCCATGGTGACCACAAAGTTCCCGTAGGTGCTTATAGAACAGGGAAAGCATTTGGAATTCCCCAAAGGATCATTATTGCTGATGAGCTCAGTCAATAAACTGAAATAAATATTATTCTTATATTACTCTCCTTTTTTCTTCAGACAGCTGAATACAATGATATAATGTATCCTGCCTGGACGTTTTGGGAAGGAGGACCGGCTGTTTGGCCAATTTACCCAACAGGTTTGGGGCGCTGGGACCTCATGAGAGAAGACCTCAGAAGGTATGTTTAGGAAATGAAGAGGGGAAGGCTTAATGGAGAACAAAAATCACAGTGAAAGCCACGTAGCTCTGAGCAGCATTAGGGCAACAGTGAAGTCCAAAGCCATAGGTTGTTGGCTGGTGATCTGTCCTGCTGCTTGTCATTAGCTGGATGCATACAGCCTAACTGCTGTATAAGAATTCTCCATGGAAACCTTGGATGATGTAAATAGAAGTTATAATTAACTGCTCTGTTTCCAGCACTTTCGTAAGCAGAAGACGAAGTATTCACATTCTTCATGCTATCAGGGCCTGATTGCTATCATTTTCGGTGGGACAAGGTTTGTCAATAAAGCAGGAGTTATTTCTTGCCTGCAGAAATTTTCCTTGATGCATGGAAATAATTTTATTTTTTCCACCTACATTTTTTTGTTTGTTTGCTTGTTTTTACTGCAGGGATGATCTAGAAGGCTTGTATAAACTCCTGGAATGGTAAAGGAAAGCCTTCTTTAGGTCTGCTTTCACATGAGTATTATGCAGTAGAGAAATGTGGAATCATTCCCAAAAAGCAAGAATAATCACTTGGCTGAGAGTAAGACAGCAAGACAGAAGATATTTCTGACTAGGAGTTCTTTCTTCTGGCAAGATCTTTGACTGTTAGCAGAATAAGGGGCTATTTCCTCTGGAGAGTGACAAAGTGTGTAACAGCGAATGAGCATAGAAACACACCTAGAAAAAAACCATGCTTGATGCCTATCAGTTAGCATCAGTTAGGCTCAATGTTTCCTTCCTCAAAATCAGAAGATTTTGAGAGAAAGGGACTAGTCCATAGCTGATGCCTAATATAATTTAATACAATCCAATGAAGTTGTTATTTATTCTTGCTTTCTCAGTGAACCCCACTTATGTCACCGGATTACAAGCGGATATAAAGCTTGACCTGTACAGGTCATGTCAGAGATCAGGATGCCCACATGTTGACTGAGGTGCAACAGAAATGTTCAACAAAGGGTTCCCCAGGGAGAGGCAGGTTATTGCTTTGGCAAAAATAAAGCACGTGAATAGTTATTTTGAAAAACACAGTTTGTTTCCCCAAGTGAGTTTCACTTTAAATGTATAAGCCCTGGAGTTTTAAATCCAAAATATTAGGCTTTTTTTTTTTTAATGGGAAATGACAATGGCCAGAAATAATTCATTTTGCACTATCTGTAGTCAATAAAGGACAGAAAAATAAAGCAAGAATGTAAAATTGGATTAAAATATTAGGGTAATTTTAATATCCTTAAAAGCGTAGGATAAACAAGGTTGTTTGTGTATAATTTATTTTTTTCACCAGAAGGTGCTCTGAAAAGTAGCCTACATCAAATTATCTTGACCACTGTATTCACTGAAAAAGCTTTTACTGGACCTAGCAGAGAGGTTTTTCTGCTGTAATGAAGAAAATGATTTCCATAAAAAATAAAGAATAATAAAATGAGATCATGCCGTGAAAACTGATGAGAGCATTGTTTCATTGATTGATCAAATAATTTATTGCCATGTACAAATAATATTTCAGATCTGCAGAAAAATGGCCGTGGAAGAAAAAAATCTCTAAAGGATATTTCCGAGGGTCCAGGTGAGCTCATCATGCCTCCAGTGTGTGGGCATCCACAGCCTTACTGGGCAACCTGTTCCAGTGTCTCACCACCATCACAGCAAAGAATTTCTTGCTAATATCTGGTCTAAATCTACCCTCTTGCAGTTTGAAGCCATTTCCCCTCATCCTGTTGCTATATATCCTTATAAAAAGTCCCTCCTCAGCTCTCAAGTTGTCATGGATTTGCTGCTTTTTTTCTTAATGAGCAAAAAAGAAAAGGATAATAGCTACAGCTATTTATATGTGTATAAATGTATATAACAAGTGATGCACAAGCAGTTGCTCACCACCCATCAACAAATGCCCAGCTAGCCCCCCCACTGAGTGGAAGAGAGCAAGATGAACTCCCACCTCCTTTAAAACTCCTTCTGTATGATGTCATATGGTATGGAATATTCCTTTGGCCAGTTAGGTCATTTGTCCTTGTTCTATCCTCTTCCAGCTCTTTGCTAAGAAACCAGAATGGCCACAGCTCTGTATAATAACGCTCAGCAACAACTATGAACATTAGTGTGTTATCAGCATCGTTTTTCTCCTCGAACTAAAACACAGCATCATACCAGACACTCCGAGCAATCCCCTCCCAACTGAAACTAAGACTGATGTCTTGACCTTGTTCATCAGCAAGGGTTTAAACTGGTGTGAGAGGGAGCAAGGCTGAACATGCTTAGCATCTCCTAGCTCTCCGACTTAGAAAGTAGTTAAGTATTTGGCACTCATCAGTATAAAGCCCAAAGGAAACAACACCTCTACCAATTTGTCCTGGGAACTGCTTAAATAATACTATTAACTATTTACTAGAAGTGAAAGAAAGGAATTAGGCCTTGGATCTTTTCTCCTACTAATATCGGACTACCATCGGACAGACATGCACTAGATGGTTGGCACTTAATGATGCTTTCTGGGGGCATACTGAGATCAACCTGAAAAAGAAGCCGTGTCTTGAGTCCCATATTTGGGTAGTTGTGTTGGGTGAAATGCTTTGGCAATAATTGGTGGTATTTCTTGTGCAGGACGAGCTCCGAAAGGGATCCCCTCATTCTGCTGTCCCGAGAAAACCCAGAACTCGTTGATGCAGAGTACACCAAAAACCAGGCTTGGAAATCTGAGAAGGTGTGTGGGTGTTGTCTGCCTTCTGAGTGTGAGGACCAGAAAGGGTAGCCAAAGGCTTTGAATGATTGAGATGCATCTTGTTGGGGAGTTATGAGTGATCCCGTAGCAGGAGGGACGCTTGTAAGTCTGCTGATAGCCACAGCTCTCTGGTGGATGAAAGGAAGCAGTCCCTAGAGCCCACCAGGCCAACCTTTTTTTTTTTTTCTCCCCCATCTGTGCTTTCTGATCAAGAAAGCCAGCAGAGATAAGAAAATGAATCAATGCCAGTTCTCTCCTCTTCCATTCCTGAAAAATTAGCCAACTTCTTCCCCTTCTAACCTCAAGCTGCCTGCATATTGCTGTCAGTCTTTCTAAACCTTTTTCTGTCATCTCCATCTCTTTGTCTTGCTGCTGATAACATTCTGATAACTGTTGCTAGTAACTTTTTAGTTCCGTACTTTTTGCACAGTCCAGCTCTCTCCAGACTGTCTTGGCTAATCCAGTTACACTTGGCTTCACACAGTCCATTGTCCCAAGCTGTTTTCAGTTCTGTAGCTGCCAACTAAAAATTTATCATTTAATGTGTTTGGTTTGGCATTTGTTTACAGGCAATTTACTGTAACTTTTTTCTTGTTTGAAAGGGCTCAGCTCTTCATAATGCTTCTAAAAGCCCACCGGGGAAAGTTTCCTCAGCAGTATGGATGGGGGGATTTGTGACTTCAGCTTTATCTGTAATTGAGAAGGAAAATGAACTTGAAATCAATGTAAAAAACTTACAGATTTTTTTTTTTTTATGTTTTCTTTAAGGACACCTTGGGGAAGCCTCCTGCAAAAGAAATTCCACTGGTTGATCACTGCAAATACAAGTAAGAGCTCTGAAGAGTAAAGTTGTTTAAGGGCTATGGGTTATTTCTTTCTTTACTTGCACGGTGTATTGTCTCTTGATTTTAAGATCTAAGCCAGCAACCAGCTCCACACAGACAAGGAAGCTTGTGAACAGGCATATAGCAGCTGAAAATTAGGGAGCTTAGCATGGCTTTTGTCAGTGCCAGCTTTCCTCTGTCACATCAGGAGAAATAAAGTGCTTTTAGGAAAGATCTTAAACTGCTAATAAGCACACGGTTAGAAAATGCATTTATTTTTATGTTTTCTGGTTATTTTTTGAGGGGAGAGGAGCATTTTTTCTTTTTTGTTTGTTTTTAAGTCAGTAGGGCTTACTAGATGTTTTTCTTTCTATTTCTGTTCCAACCTATATATTCCACTGTTGTGTGCATGCATGTGTGTGCTACAGTAATAGCTTTGCTATCTTTAAAAGACATAAGGAACTGAGGAACTGTGCCTTCATATGCCTACTGGGACAAATGTTGCCATTAGATGTGTACATTAAAAGAGAGAACCTGAAGTGTGATAGAGCAGATATAATATTGATTCATACTTCCTATGTTGTCTTGGAGAACGTGGTTTTGATTTACAGAGGATTTTATGTTTTAACTACTTTAGGAAGGGGTTTTTGGTATAATACTTATGTGGCTTTCTGTGTAAAAATACAGACTTATTTTGTATTTATTTTTATGTCTGATGTTTTGATTTTTCTTTTGGTTTAAAATCCTTCAGTTGCAACTCTACCATCTAAAGTCTGCTCTTTTAAGAACTCAGTCATTTGGCTGAATGTGTGTTTTTGTGCAAATGTGACTGACTTGTCTCATTTGATTTTTCACTAAACTGTTGCCCAGATTTCTCCCTTCTGTTACACATAGACTTCCCTGAACTCCTGATGGTTTGTAAGCCATCATACAGCATGGGCTAAGACACTCTCACTGTTTTGTCTCAGCCCCAATCACTATCAATAGTCATTATCAGCAGCAGCACACAGACTCTATGGAGTCTGTTCTGGATGACTAGCCCCTACAGCAGTCCTGTGCTACGTTACTGACTTCAGTTTGTCAGTGGAAAGACACAGCTACAAGAAGAGGGGTTGTAGTCAGATTGCCTAACTCAGAAGCCACACTTCTAGCTGGAGGCGGTGAGAGGCAGGGACTAGTAGGGGCAACAAGAATGTCTCACCTGCTTGCTTTCATGTAGGTGCTATATGGGTCTGTCTGAGAGCAGCCCTCAGTGAATTAGCTGATGTCACTGTAATGTGATGGAAAGTACAGTAATAATTGCAGAGTTACACAATTCTAGCTAGGCTATAGTAAATGAGAACAAGCCCAAGTACAGAAACTACAGACACATAAATAAAGAAACTAAAACTGCTTACCTTTAGAAGAGCTCCAGCAGGTAGGGATCTCCACTGCCAGCCCTTAAATGAGGTCTGGAAAGAGCTGGATCCTGGCTCCACCCCTTCCAGTCACTCAGCTGCATTGCTTGCACCTGAGTTTCCCTGGTTGGCCCTGCCTTCCCACCAGGTGCTCAATCACTGCTTCAAGACATGATTTAGCATTTCTGCTATAGTCACAGATGGTGGGAGCTGTGGCTAAAGCTGGACAGTTATTTTCTTACTTCTAGACCACTGTTCTTGTTCTGTATCTAATATCATTGTTCAGTTCCTAGTACAGTGTGCTCCTTATCCCTGCCTTGAGCTCTTAGATAATACAAAGAATGCAAATTAATTTCAGATTAAATTCCTTTCACTTACTGCTGAATCAAGTTTAGCTATATCCCCATCTCACCCAAAAACAGCTATGTTAAAGGACTCCCTTCCCCCAGCCCAAAATGTTTGACTTCAAAGAGTAGTTCCATGTACTGAGGGGTTTTACCCACAGGAAAAACAGCTTTCCATATAATTGGAGAAATGTGGGTTTGAAAAAACAAGGAAGCAAACAAACAAACGTGTCTCTGAGATGCATTTTGCTAAGAGAAATCACCCCCAGTCAAGCCCGTTTTACTAACTTGGCAGAAAATACTGAAAACAAGATTGTTGATTCTTTGTTATCTGCAAAGTCCATCTGTTTTGTGCTAGTCTGTTTAACCTCCTAGGGTTGCATTCCCAAGTTAATGTGAAACAACTAGCTTCAGATTAAAGCAGGATCTCAGAAGATAAAAAAAGAAAAAAAAAAAAAAGGCTGAATAGATACAGAAAAGCAGAACAATGGACAAAAAAGCTCATTTCAAGACAGTAAAATCGGGGAAAAGCTCCTCATGGGAACAGTCTTTTGTCAGTAGTGTAGAGCCACAGAAATAGCATCCAAGGTGTGATGTTCCATGCCTTCTAGGCAGTGGTTGGTGAAGCCTCATTTGCTTTGCCATAGCCAGGTCTTTCTCCTAGATTTCCTCCCTACATTCTGTTCAGCGCCAGAAACTCACCTAGAGCATCTTCAACTTCAGTTTACTTGTGCTATGACCAGTGAGAAAGTGTTATCAGTACTCAGAGTCCGGTTTCTTTGGGTATTTTCTCACAGAATGCCAGGTGTAACCTCTTTTCTTCACCTTCTAAAGGTATCTGTTTAATTTCCGGGGAGTGGCCGCCAGTTTCCGTTTGAAACACCTCTTCCTGTGTGGTTCACTCGTCTTTCACGTTGGAGAAGAGTGGTTGGAGTTCTTCTATCAACAGCTGAAGCCCTGGGTCCACTACATCCCAGTCAGATCAGATCTCTCTGATGTCAGGTGTGTGACCCTAGCTATGCCCAGTGGCACAAGGCATGGCACAAGGCAACACTGCTCTGTTTGGGAAGAGGAGCCTCTGCTCCTGTGCACCAAAGACTCTTGGAAGTCGTGTTCTTTTTGCTTTATTATTGTACTCAGAGAACCATTTGCGTGTATTTCTTACAGAATGTGGTTTCACTGGGGTACATAAGGTGTCTCACCCTCACTGAAATCAGCAGGCATTAGGTACTTAAATATCTCTGAAGTGAGCACAGAAATACAGATAAGAGGAAGAAGAACATGTTACTGGGCTGGAAATGTGTTAGCTCCTGGGTTTCAGCATGCTGTCCAGGACTGATACGGAACAAATATGAATGACAAGATTCTTCTGTGATCTCAAATCTTTGCCCAGCTCTAAATCCTTAATCTCATCCTCTGCAATAGTTTAGCTGAGTTGTAGTTCCCCACTAAGCTAGTTGTTTCATAACATTTTTTGTCTGCATTTTAGGGAGCTGTTGCAGTTTGCAAAGGAAAATGACAACATAGCACAGGAAATTGCAGAGAGGTAAGTTGTGTGTCCTTTCTGTTTGTCAGGCATTCTTCTTCCAAAACATTTTCTTATGCAGCTTTTGAAGAGGTTACCTATCAAAGCCAGCCTAGTACTAATAGGGTAAAGTATATTTTCCTTCTGCAATAACAGCGGGAGTTTTAGAGACCTTATAACAAACAGGGGGACCTGGAGATTATGTGTTTAGGTCTTCAGTTCAGATGTGACCCGTGTCAGGAACCCCACTGAAAGCTATCAGATGTTAGGAGCTTTTGTCTCAGTATGAAGTGAGTTGGCCCCTGGGAGCTACGTCTGCATTAAAACCATTATATACCCAGGATAGCAGAAGCTGCCTTCTGAAGCAGCATGTAGCACTGCTGCTTAGGCTGCATCTGATATGTAAAAGTTGATATTTATTATCCCAGATGACAAATACCATCTTGAGGATAACAAAAGCAGTGCAAGTGTCAGAGTCATAAGAGTGAGTGAAGATTGGGAAATGGAAATAGACGGTATGGAGCAATGCATGTTGTTTCTCATTTGGAAAAAAAACAAAACAAAACAGAAGAGTGAAAGTTGATATGCATATGAAACAAAACCAGAAACTCTTGTAGGAACTGGAAATTGGTTCTGACTGTGCCTTGTGTGTCTCCAGGGGACGCCAATTCATCACTGAACACTTGCAGATGGAGGATGTCTCTTGCTACTGGGAGCATCTGTTGTCAGAATATTCCCAAACCTTGACTTACAAAGTGAAAAGGAGGAAGAACTACAGTGAGATCACTTCTGAATGGTTGAAAACAGAACTGTAGAGACTTCTCTGCTTTTTCCTTCAGCTCAAACTGATCTCTCTGGAAATCTGAAGATGGGTGTATCTTCTTTCCAGTTCTCTCAGATTTATTATTCTTTACACTAAAACTGCAGAGAGCACCAATAGGCTAACTTTAAAATTATTCCCATGCACTGGGACCCAGGTCTACTGTTGCCATAAGAACAGTAAGTTGAAGGTTAGAGTATGGCTGTGTGCTGGGCTGGTTTTGCTCAATGCCTGGAAGAGTGTTGTTGCAGAATCATAGAATGGCCTGGGTTGAAAAGGAACACAACGATCATCTAGTTTCAACCCTCCTGCTATGTGCAGGGTCACCAACCACCAGACCAGGCTGCCCAGAGCCACAATCATTTGGGATTTTGTTACTGCCTGTCTCAGAATGATCCTAAATCCTATTCAGTCAACGAGATGCCTTGCTGTTCATTTTACTGGACCTTTTGCCAAGTCCTCTGTACTCATGGCAAGGTAGTGTTTGCTATGCTCAGCTGGGAGATACATGTCCATTTTTGGCAGTGGTCAGTGTTTTCTCATCTGTGTGATAGCACTTGGGATATTAGGTATTCACTGATAGGAGCAGGTACTGGGATTTGAGGTAACCTTTTTAGATAGCTTAGAGTTTAGGTTTGTGATGTTTAGGTCAAGTTTTTAAGGTGGATGGCAGACTTTGATGGGCCATTAAAAGGACAAATTATCCTTGCACAGGTAAATTACCTACCTCACAAGGGAATGGCTGGTGATGATAGCACTGCCATAATGCTTGGCCTGAGTAGTGGACAGTCAAGCAGCTGAGATAAAGACTGCCTCCACTGTGGGGCAATGAGCTGGATCCATGCACAGCCACGCAAAACTGAGGCTGTGTTATCAAGGTCTCAGCAGTCTGCTGGTCAGACATCCTGGGACCCTTAAGAACTTGGAGAAAATATACACAGAGGTAGATCGAGCTGTTCTTTTATTTTTTTCCTACATATTCAGAGATTCTCTGCTCTGATCCTCTTCTGTAATCTTTCATTTTAAGGCTGGTGACACCTCTGCTCAGTTCAGCATTCCCTTCTCTTACACCCAGCTGTTAGGCTCCCTTTCTCTCAGTCTGATTGAGGGAATGCCTTCAAGTCACACAGAGGCAGCTACTCCTCACATTGTTCATCTTAAGTTCAGTCACAGGTTGCTTGTGCTAAGCATTTTTATGCCAACTGCAGGCTGCTCAGCTCATAAGGAATACAATCCCCAAAACGCTCTATCTTTTCTGAGCTGAGAGAGACCTGGGAGGAAGCAGTGTGTTCTCTGGCATCCAGACTGGCTTTGTTTCTCCTACTTACTGTAATGTCAAAGCCTTGCATTAAAACAAGTTTTTGAGTAGCACAGAGCTACACTGTACTTCCTAACCTGTCTGGTCCCCTGCAGCTGTGAGTCACTTGCTTTGGGATCACTGCTCCTTCTGTGCTGCAGAACGTCTGCCTGAGCAGGGCCAGAGCAGCCGCTGTCCCAGACGTATCCTTTGGGTGTCAGGGGCGTTCTGTCAGCAGAACACAGGTCTTGGCCTTCCTGGCATCTGGGTGCCTAAGCCTGTTGGAGTGCAGAGAAGCAGACTGCTCCCTCTGGCTGAAACAGCAGGGGTGGTAGCAGCATGGGATTCAGGGGTTGCCTCTGCATCTCTGCTGAGCTCCCTCGCTTACAAAGTGGCCTCAGTCATGTCTTAGGAAGCAGCAGCTTAATGGAAGGGAACAGTAACAGCAGCTTGTAGTTTTCTCTGTAGTCATTTTGGATCAGAGAAGAAAACACAGTCAAGAAGCTCCAAGTACACTCGCAACACATACGCACTCAGAGACCTCAGCAGCACTGCCCTTTCCAGGAGCAGGGATGTAACTGTCAGTGGTACCAGTGAAGCTGCTAGAGCCATATGCGGCTCTGTGCCACTGTGGGCACAGAAAACAAATTAGGGTGTTAAAATAGCCTGGTTTCCGAGGAAAAGGGTTGAGTACAAGTGGAAAGGGTTTTCTGGTTTTGTATTTTTAGCCAATGAAGCTCAGCAACCTGAGAAATGGAAACAACTCTGTATAGTATTTTTAAACCATTTTTAGTGATGTGCTTTTGGATTAAAACAAGCAAAAAATGAACTGTTGCTGGGTGCATTATTTCTCAGAATTGCAAGAAAAGATCTGGATAGTCCCCAGCTGTCTCAATGAGAAGGGGAAGTTTTGTCTTTTTGTGTTGTTTTTTTTTTTCCTCTTTGACAGTATCTTTAGGGCGTCTCAGTGGAATCTGAGGAGTATGCCCATCCACGTTGCCAAGTCATGTGTGATGGTGACTGAAAACTTTTTCTGAGTGATTGCTTGCGTTAACTGGTGGCTCCTCTGCTTCCTTTGCCACTTTCCTAGAACAGCCATGAGTAACTGCCCCCACTCCTCCCCAACAGGATGGAGCCTGAATGGCGGGGAGGTCGCTCCTAAAGGTGATGGGACTTCCCTCAGGACTTCGGTTTAGATAAAGGATGGGATGTGAAGGATGTTGTGCACAGTGCTTGTAAGCACATGTAAGATGCACTGCCACAGCGCCGGAGACCCACGCAAGAACAGGAATGTGTAACCTTCCAACTGGTTACGACTATAAGAAACAAAAGGGTAAAACCAAAAGCTGGCAGAGGTCTCAGTGGGCTGTGATAGTGGCACTGCTGCTTGGCCACATCTGCTACTGGAAAGCACAAGTGAAGGCCCGGGTGGTGGGTCGTGTTCACTGCACCACAGGATGGTTTAGGTCGGAAGGGACCTCGCAGCCCACCCAGCCCCGACCCCCTGCCACGGGCAGGGCTGCCCCCCAACTCGGGACGCCCAGGGCTTATCCAACCCCGAGCGCCTCCAGCGGTGGGGGCGGCCAGCAGGCACTGCGACGTGTGATAGGAAATCGGAAGCCAACAAGAGACCAAAGGCCGAGGGGCGCTTCCCCTCTCTTCCACACAGGGGAAGCTCGGTCACCGGGCTAGGAGCTCCCGAGCCCTCGCACTGCCGGCCCGCCCCGCCGTGGAGCTGGGGGCGCTGCGGTGCTCGCTCAGCGCCGCCGCCGGGAGGGCCATGGCGGAGGGGCTGGGAGCAGGGCGGACCTTCAGCCGCCCCACGCCGCCGCCGCAGACGGGCTGGGAGCGGCTCAGCGAGCTGTGGCGGCGAGAGTGAGGGCCGGGCCGGGGCGGCGGGGCCGGGGCGGCGGGCTGAGGGTGTGCGGGCGTGCGTTCCGGGTGCGGAGCCCGGCGCTGCCGCCGCGCGGAGCCGGGAGCCGAGGCCTGTCCGGGCCGCGCGGCTCCGCGCTGAGGCACGGCGTTTCCTTGCAGCGAGCAGCAGCGGTATCCGGAGGAGACGGTGAACATCATCAAGTCGGCGTTCACCGGGGGCCTGGTCGGCTGGCTGTACGGCGGCCTGCCCGCCTTCCGCCAGGCGCGGAGGGCCTTCATCGAGGGCAGCCAGGGAGAGGTGTTCCAGAACCGCGCCGATGCGGTGGTACGGGGCCGGGGGGCGAACCGCGGGCAGAGCTGCCTTCAGAACCTCGGTGCTGAGCGGGGGTGGTGAAGGGGACGGTTTCACACAGAGGATGGTGACGCACTGGAACAGGTTGCCCAAGGAGGCTGTGGATGCCCCATCCCTGGAGGCATTCAAGGCCAGGCTGGATGTGGCTCTGGGCAGCCTGGTCTGGAGGTTGGTGACCCTGCACATAGCAGGGGGGTTGAAACTAGGTGGTCATTGTGGTCCTTTTCAACCCAGGCCATTCTATGATTCTGTGTGCAAGCAGAAGTCCAAATCAGGTGGCATGGTCCCAGTTGCTTTGCCTCTGCGAAACAGTGCTGCAAATGGCAGTGAATTCTTGGGGTGCCTGTTCTGCTGTATACATCAGCTCTCATTCCTCAGGAAGGGATCGGCTTTACCCTTGGGGGTGCCATTCCCAGCACCTCGAGTGGGGTCGGTGCCACTCGGCAGCACCCTGCAGCACAGTGGTGTGGTGCTGAAGGGAGCAGCTGTACGGTCTCTAACCCTTCTCCTCCTCCCCCCAGCAATCTGCACACCGTGCTGGACTCAGGAGCTTCATCCGCTACGGCTGGCGCTGGAGCTGGAGGGTGGCCACCTTCGTGACCATATTCAAGTAAGTGTGCTCTTCGTGGTAGCAGTGGGAGAACAGAGAGTCATGCTTGGACCCAGGCAGTCTGACCAATGAAGTGGAAACATGAAGAGGATGTCACCTTCTTAAATTAGCCCAGCGCTGAATCTTCTCCCGAGCCAACACAAAAATGAAAACCGGAAAAGCTCCACTCACAACAGCTGGTCCATTCTGTTTTGGGCCTAAATTGTGTTCTTCCCACCACTTAACAGCTTATTTCTGTTTTTTCTTATTTTGATGCATTGTGCATTTTTCTCTGAGATGGCATTACAGTACACTGGCTGTTCTGGAACAGCTTTCTGTCCCATACTGATTTTTCTCCTTTTTGTTACGTCTTATCACCCCCACTTTGTGTACAGTGGCATTACTCACAATTCTCTGTCCTTGTCTTCAAGTTCTTGGAGGTGACTCCTTTGCGTGTCCCTGCACAAGCAGTGCACACACAGCGTTCCACTTCTTCATTTTTCTCCCCCAGAAGTGCCCGTGTGTTTCTCACAGTACAGTGTCAGACTAGGCACGCTATTCCAAATAACACCCTTTACAACTAGAAACATCACCATGCCTGACGTGAAGAGTGGTACGTAGTTCTATACCTGCACTGACTACACCTGTGGGTGCATTGTGTTCCCCTTCTGCTTTTTAGATAGCAGCACTATTGACTAGCACTAACTCCTAGTCAGCTGCTTTTATATTTCGGCCTTTCTTCCTGATGTTTTTGTGCCTTTCTCTATTTCATACATGTTTTCTGTCATGTTTTGGCTCCTTTTGCCACAGTATCTTTTCTCGAGTTTAATTAGCGTGCTGTTTGCTTTCTCATTCGGAACTTTTAATGCATTAGATTTTTTCAGGACTAGTCGTGCAATGTCGTTGCCATCCACCAGATGTCTCCCACGCAAGCAAATGAATCATCCTTTTTCAGCGCTCCTTTGTGAAAGGCTTTGAAGGGAGATGCTGCTCTGCTCAGTGTTACTTGTTTCTGTGTGGAATCATACAATGTTTCATGCTGAAATGGCTCCACAAGAATAATTGAGTCCAGCTCCTGGCTCCACACGTGACCATCCCAAATCCAAACCCTGTGTCTGAGAGCAGTGTCCAAACACTCCCTGAACTCCAGCACTTGGGGCTGTGCCCACTGCCATGGGCAGCCTTTGCCATGCTCACTGCCCTAAATTCTAAGTTGAAGGTTCTGTCCTGCAGTTGCATACATGTAAAGTCTTGTGGTTTAAAAACAGGTTGTTAGTTCCACGTTTTGGAAAGGCTGACATTACATTGGTAATTAGTAATTGGAGAGAGAGATGGAGGAGGTGGTGCTCCTAATCCAGCAGGGGACCTTCTGCGTAATGGAGCTGGTGGCCCTGATGACACCTTGAGTATGATTCAGCTCTAGTGGTAGCTGTACGACTGACAGGACCATTGCATTGCTTGATCCCTTTTATTCTTGAATGTAGGATGGATTAAAAAAAAAAAAAGAAGTCTTTGATTTACAAAAAGGAAAAAAAGGCTATCCAAAAGCAGTACTCCCTGACCTCTGGCTGTCCAGCTGCATGAGGTAAAGTTGCAGAAATAAAGCACTTTTGGTTGGCATGTGTGTGCTCCGGCCAGGCTGGTAGCAGGATACAGCGGCACCCTGCGGGTGGGCTTAATGAAATCCTGCTTCTTTTCAAGCAGTGTCTTTTTTGTGTGTAACTGCTGTCTTTATGCCTCACCCTTGCAGCATGGTGAGCACTGGTCTGTCCGTGTACCGCGATAAAACCACCATCAGTAATTTTGCTTCAGCAGGAGGTAAGACTGGGTAATTTTTATCTGTGTACTTTTTTACTTTTTCAGTGTCAGTAAGCAGAGGACATAAATAGAAAATCATAAGCAAAAATCCATATCTCTTGAATATGAGCAGACCCATAGCATCGTTGCACCCGGGTTTTGCAGCCGGCTACGCTGGCTGTCTTTGGAACTTTGCCCCATGGTATAGTTGTTGTCTGCCTTTATTTGTAACACATAATCAATGCATTATCTGAAACCAATGGGGAATTTTGTGGTTATTAGTCCGTTCTCAAAATACTTGTTGGAGTTTTTGTGTGAAAATTGCTTGTGTGGCATAAATGCAACATTTAGTGCATGACCAGCCCTCATAACCACCTCCTCGGCAGAGGATCATCTCTTATTTCTGCTCATCACAACAGTTCAATGTTTATAAATGTTTATAAAGTACTGTTTTTGTGGCAAGTTTTGCACATCCACTTTTGGCAATAGAGCTCCTGGTAAATATGGTCATTGGGTTTTAGAGGATTTGTTGCCCATACAGCTGTGTATGTGCTTTACTGTTCTTTTCTGCCTTACATGGCAGCAGCTATAATTAGCTGCAGTTGAATAGAAGGGAAAAAAAAAGAGGGGGGACAAGGGGGGAGAAAGGGTGATGGAGCCTGGAGTGTGCTGCCCAGAGACACTGTGGAGTGTCCTTCTCTGGAGATATTCGGGACTGTCTGGACACTTTCCTGTGTGACCTGTTGTAGGGAACTGCTGTAGCAGGAGGCTGGACTGGATGATCTCCAGAGGTCCCTTCCAACCCCTGTGGTTCCGTGATTCTGTGATCGTGCTCCAGTCTGGAGAGAACTGAGTTCCACTTTCATAGTTACTTTTGCATTTTAGCATTTCTGAGGGAGTTGTTCTCAAGAAGAATGAGCTTTGTGCTATGTTTTAGTGCAGAGGGCGTGTGGACGAAAGTAGGGGAAAGCATTGTCACAATAAGTCAGGCTGCTGCGACTGCATGGTGGGAGCTGCTGGCCACAGCGTTTGGTTTCTGCTCTGTTAAAAACAAGAGTCAGCTAACAGAGAGGAGAAACTGAGCAGAGCAGCTCCCTTGGCAGGCCTGCAATGGCTGGTGAAGGGCTGATCGTGGTTTCAGCCAGTTTGTGTTTTTCAGCCTTCACAGGAGCTCTCTTCAGAATGCACTTGGGCCTGTCTGGGCTGGCAGGCGGCTTCCTGTTCGGAACAGCCTTTGGGTAAGTTGTGACTGATGGCAACCAGAGACTGAGTCACAGTTACTTTTTGATGGTCTATGTTAGGTGGTGGCCCCCCACACCAAGCCCGGAGTCACAGGTGGGACTGCAGATGTTTTCCTTTCTCTCTTGCCCTGAAGGATTTTCTGTATTTTTTCCTGGGACCTTGTGATGATAATTTTTCTTCCAGGCCTTTAACTGTTTTTTCTTTTTCTTTTCTTGATTTATATTTTGCTCTTTCCTCTGTGATAAGAGCTCAGTGCTCTCAACAGAGCGTCTTACCACTGTTTGCATAGCAGAGGAGGCACTGACTGCTATTAAATAGGAAACCATGAGGGAGGGTCCCAGACATGTCTTGTTGGTATGGCCATTAATAAGCCCATTGGTTGTGCATGGGACAAGGTCTCTTCAAGTAACTGTGGTGTTTGGGATTAAATACAGGAGAGTAGGAGATAAGGGCTCCTCCTCCAGCAGCTCAGAACCCAGAGCTGAACGCACAAGGGCTGTTGGATGGGTCAAAATGAGACATTTGCAAAACAGGTTCCATCAAAGCCAAGATGTGGAGTGGCAGCTGTTAAGAAATGCTGAAGAAGAGGCTGTGTGGTAGGGCTGCGCAATCCAAAGCTGTAAGATGTCACATCACTGTGGATACCTTGCATCTCCCTGAGTGGTGGGAGGGGACCCAAGCTCCCTGAGGGTGGAGGGGACCCATAGTTCTCTGGGATTCTGGCCGTTTAGGCAGCGACCTCTTAACTCGGGCAGAAGTTGAGAGAAGGCAGGTTCTTCAGGCTGAGCTGGTACATTAAGGGTTGTTGGTGCACATTAAGGCCTGTCACCCCCTTGATTTGTGTGTTCCTGCTCATGAATAACTTCAAAATACATTTTCAAGGGGCTACAGTGAGTCACAGCTGATGACTGACATTAGCACGAGAGCACCTTAGTCTGCGGTGTCATTTCAGTACTGGGCAATGTTGTGCTCCAGTGATCTGGTGGCTGGCCCCCACATGCTCCTTTCACTCTTGCCAGTAAGTTATTACTACTGAATGTCCTCTGTGTAACTTGTGACTTCTCTTCTACTTTTTCTAGGATCCCTGCAGGGGGCCTCCTAATGATTGCACAGAAACTTGCTGGTGAGACTTTGCAGGAGAAGCGAAATCGTGAGCGCAGGGAGCAGTATGAACAGAAATTAGCAGAGTGGTAAGAGACAGAGCTGCCTATGCAAGTCTTTGACTAGAAGTGTGTCCAGGTCTCTGTGGCTCAAACGTTTAGAGAAGCCATGCCATATCATGTTTTTGGTGTGTTCCACATATCTACCTACAAACTGCTGATAAAATCTTCTGGGGATAGAGGGCTGTGAGGCTGGCTGCGTGACTTACTGAAACTCACAAGGAGTGCCTGTTCTAGGAGAAACTTTTTAAGAGTTGAAATACTTGCAGTGATGTCTTTGTAATACACTGACATAAAGTTTCTTTGCACTCTCCTTTCCCTCTTTAGGCAATCCAGGCTTAGTGTGACTGAAGACTTGGGCAAAATGGACAGTGATGCCCAGGAGCAATCACAGACAGAAAATAGCAGGAGAATCTAGGAGCTGCTGAGTCGTCCTCAGATCTCTGTTGTAAGCAGCTACAAAGTACTTTGATTCTATTCTGTCTTTGTCCAAAGACATAATGGAAGTCTTCTGTGAATGCAGTTGTATCCTTCATACTTCTGAAAAACCGGTTTGCTGGAAATGTTTTTTTGTGGATGCGTATCGCTTCTCAAGGGCTTGGAAGGGCCAAACCTGTTCCACTTCACAAAGTGGATGGGTGGGCTCTACAGGCTAGCAAGTGTCAGCTAGGTTTGGCTGAGGATGAGGACAGCCACAGAGTCTCTGCTGGAACCCATTTGCTGCTGGAAATGTCCAAGCTGATGGTGATGTAGAATAGCAGGAGGAGCCTGCTATTGCTGAAGGGAGCCTGATTTGGTGAAAGCTGCTCTTCAGACAGTGCCTGAAGCCCCTGCTGTTGAAGCACAATATAGGTTGCACCAGTGAGAGTGTTCCTCCTCTTGCCAACCTTCTCCCACACCTTGAGTTTGCCTGCCTGAGACCGGTTTGGTTTTGCTGATGGTGGTTTATTCATGTTTTTTGCAGAAAAACACATTTGTTTCTTGCAGTGCTTAGGGTATTTCACAATCAGTTTTGAGGAAGGGTGGAGGAGATTGGAGTGGCATGGAAATACCCTGTAGAAGACGAGACAGAGCTGCCTATGCAAGTCTTTGACTAGAAGTGTGTCCAGGTCTCTGGCTCAAACGTTTAGAGAAGCCATGCCATATCATGTTTTTGGTGTGTTCCACATATCTATGTACAAACTGCTGATAAAATCTTCTGGGGATAGAGGGCTGTGAGGCTGGCTGCGTGACTTACTGAAACTCACAAGGAGTGCCTGTTGTAGGAGAAACATGTTTTGGGTTCTTCAGTAGAAGTGTGGCTGAGGGGGTCAACGGAAAGGATGACCTTTTCTGATGGTAATGGTGGAAGCATTGGCTCAGTGGACAGATTTAACAGCAATAAAAAATGCTCAAATTTCACATAAAGGTTGAAAATTAGAGGATTACCTCAGGGGGGAAATGCAGTTCATGACATTCAATAAAGCCATCTGGCAGTGGTGATTGTGTCCATAATCTCTTTATGCTTAACTAGTACGGTGCTTGCATTAGGGATACATGCTTGAGCAGTGTCCCATGAGAAGAGTTCTATCCAAGATCCCCCCCAGGAAGCATGAAGTCTGGTGGCAGTGTCAGACTTCTTCCCAGGCAGTAACAGGAACCTCTGATTACTATTTTCTAGCAGACGTCAACCGTTAAGTTGTAGCTGCTGCCTATGGGTAGGGCTGAGGATAATTTAATAATGGCCTGTACCTGAGGGCAGGTGGTGGCTTGTTGCCATTTTCCCTCAGAGCAGAAGGTCAGACTAATGGCCCCTTTTCTTTGCTGGGGTTTTTGTCTTATTAAAAAGAACTGTATCCAGGCAGGGGGTTAAGGTCCCATAGGAAAAAGAGTAGGCAGTCTATTCTGTGCGAGCGCTTTCCTCTGCTATGGCTAATTAGTGTTGAATGAAATATGAGCAGCTCATTGCACAGAGCATATTCCACCCACCCAAAGCAATTTTTTTGGCACAGCTTGCTTCCAAGAAGGTGTTGTGTTTTATAACTTCTGAAACAAACGTTTTATTTTTCAAACACCTCAGTGTAATTTATCTGTTCATGGAAGGAATGCCTGTATTTCAGGGTTTTCATCACTCAGCTTTGATTTCCGCCTGCGTGAAGTGAAGAACTATGGATAGGTCACTCTCCCTTCCATGTTTAAACAGTGTACATTGGTGGCACTGGTGTGATTAACCTCTGCCCCCTGGGAAGACAGAAGGCCTTTCTACATCACATTTTTTGCCACTATAGTTATACAGGAATGTTTCATATTTTTGTGTGTGTGCTTGTGTGCACGACACTTAGCTGTGTCATTGCTCAGCTCTTCTCTCTGCCTCTTTCAGGGGATATTTGATGTGGTGTCAGAACACCAGTTTTCTTGTGTCTTTGACCACTGATGCAGGGATGTTGCACCTTGGGAAAGTAGGCAGATCTAAGATACAGCAGACCTGTATTCTTTTTCTTCTCCATGTAAGGAAGGAAGGAGCCCTTGATGCCCTTATGTAGCACCTTAGCAAGGGGAAACACAAACTTCCATCTACATTCAACTCAGGATTAGCAGCCATTTTTCACTCTGTTTCTTGCTGAAGTTAGTTCCTCATTCCCGTACTTCCCTGTACGTACAAGACATCTTTTATTTCTGAGGAAACTAAACGGATTGTACAACATAACTTTTAATACAATTAAAGGAGAAACCCCAGCACATGTTATATACAAAATACCTGCAATAAACAGCAGCTCACCTGGTAGAAAGACCCAGATATTAAGCTGAAAAGGTCTCATGGAAACCATTTGTGTGCAATTCAACGAATACAGCATAAAGCAATTGAAAACATGATTCATAATATAAGTGCTTAAGAAAGAAAATAAACCAAGCAGCCTGCCTGTTGAGTATAAGAGCAAACTGATGCTAGGTATATTTGTCAGTGGAGGTTTTGGTTTCCTTTCTAAGGAGTTACTTAAAGTGTTGTGGGAGTCTGGCGTGACACAGAAAGGTTTGGCACCGTGCAAAAGACAAACCCTTCTGCAGAGTGCTGTGCAATCAGTCATCAGCTGGGAGCAGAAGTAGAGCATGGGGAAGCCTCTGAATTCAGGTGCAGCTGCCAGAGCTACAGTGTGGTTGGCAAAGTGAAAACATAGGAAATGATTCCAGTGAAAAAGAGTGTGTTCAGCCTGCAAGAAGCTGCTTGTTCTAGAATAAGCACATGCAGACTGAAGGAAAAGGTAACATGAATGCTATGAGACTACATTTCACTGGCAGCCCTTCCTGTAACAAGGTCAGGTTGCCTTTTAGTAGTACTACTTCCTATGCCAGCTTTGTCCCACTTGCAACCAGAATGAACATGTGCAGATAACTTTGGCTCCTTGTCACCCGCTGAGGGCTTGGTGGCAAGTTTTGTCTCCTTTTCTCTGTTTTTGACCCCTCAGTAGGAATGTTCTGAAGTTCCCATTTCGTCTCATAAAAAGGGATAGTGGTAAAAATGCTGATGGGGCAGCAGGTTTCAGCAGAAGTAGAAAGAAAGCAGTGTCTTATTTTTCACTACTGACTTGCTCTAATCCCTTAGACTCTCATTGCTCAATGCTCTGTAAACTGCTTTTAGCGCTTCTGTTCCCTCCAGCATTTTTTCTTCCAATACATACCTGCTAGAAAACATTTCTGTGTTGTGTCCTAGCAAGATAAACAGCTCAAGCAGCAAAATACCCCACAAAGATGGTGGTGTGATACTTTCAGATTTTGGCCTACCCTGCTAACTATGTACTGGATGAAGCAATAAGGTAACGGGTACAGCTTGCAGTAGGACAGAACTAAAAGGAAAAACTGAACAAGGCCACTATATTCAAGGCAGGGTTAAGTTGGTATGCATAGCTGCTTAGGAAACTTGGTTGTGCTTGGGATTTTTTTCCACTCTTTTCCCCTCAAAACGAGAAACCGTGTTTTCCTACACAGTAGGCAAGAATAATCACCTAAGTTAGATGAGTCCTATCCAGTGCTAGCATCCTGGCTGAGAAGAGAGAATGCTGACAGAAGGCAGCAGCATTCAAAGCAAAATGAATCCCTGTGTCACCATGAGAGACTCTCCCCAAAAATGGAGAACCTGCACTAACAAGTATTCCTAGGCTAACGTACAAACAAAAGCAGATTTAGGAAGCAAGGCCCTGACTTAAATTTCACTACTGTTGGTACACGTAAGTTAACCGCTTGTTGTTACAGAAATTTAAATTGGGCTTTATGACAAGCGTGAGTAGGAAAGAAACGCACATAAAGCTTGAGTTTGTGTGTGCATGCACATGCACACACACCCACGTGTTCACAAGCACCACCACAATTAGCAGGGCGGTCTGTGTGAGGTATGCCCCGTGTCTGAGCAGTGCAATGGAGGAGCTAGGTTGACAAGGCCATCCTTTCAAGAGAGAAAATGTTATGAGAACTTCTGCCACTGCTGTACATAAGCAGTATTTGCTGTTGGGTACGCTGTCAGTATGTATCATTCCCTACAAAGTCTCAGTGAAAACAAGCAGGAGGTGTGTATTATTCCCACCTCGAGGCACTTTTTCCTGGAAGTGTGTGCATTGCTGCCTCTTTAGGAGAGAAGAGATATCACATCACCTATCTAACCATCAAGCCAAACTTGGCCCACACTGAACAGCGCTGGCAGATACCGGTATGAGGCTGAATGCGAAAGTAGTTTTGGCTGCTTCAAGTTGCACCATGGAGGCATGGCCTCCACAAATGTTGGGGTCTGGGGGCAGTTGTGCGTTGCTAGAGGGGTGGGTGGACATGGGCTACCTGCCAGGTCTCTGCAGGGCCCCCGATTCCTGTAGAGGCAACATCAGAGTATCCCGAGCACTCAAGCTGGCATGCTGGAGGAGCACAACGCTGAAGGTGTTCTTCTAACCTGCTGTAGAAACACAGAGGGTCCTCCCAGTTGGAATTCCAGCGAACCCTTTGTAACAAGACCACCTCGTAGCTTCTGTGGCATAGGCGGGTATTTGTATTCATTCACACAAGATTATGTTGTCAGTCTTCTTGAGAAGATCTTTCTACTGCTCTCATCCCCTTTCAGAGAGCCTAAGGGTCAACGCCAATAAGCATTGCTGTAGAGAACAGTGGGGACTGCAGTGCAGGATACACAGGATAGGAAACCTGAGGGAGACAGAAAAAGAGACTTTACTGATTTTTTTTCCCCCTTCTTAATTCTAAATCTAAGTCAAAATGTGGCAGATCCAAGAGAAACACGGATCACCTGTTATAGTCCACAAGAGGGATCCTAGTATGGTAAAAATGGCTGTGCAGAGGCAGTTCAAGGCATGCGCTGCAGTGAGCTACTGGCTCAGCACTTGCTTAGTGTGAAAACCTTTGAACCATACAGAGGTGCCATCCTCCTGAGAAGAGAGGATGACTAATAAATGTACTGCCTTATTTAAGCAGCAATAGGACATGGCTCAGTGCATCATAAAGTTACAAGATCACAGACTGCCACTAAGCAAGCAGCACATTGTCCTAATGTACAGCTTCCAGTCCTATGCACAGACAGCAGCTGTTCCAGGCACTGCAGTTTGGAAATAACAGCTGCTTACCAAAAAAAAAAAAAAAAAAAAAAGCCTGGGAAACTTTAATAAAAAAAGAGGAATGTGGTAGAATGGATTTATCCAGTAGGTGAACTCCCACCAGTGAACAGTACTCACAAAAGCCCCCAGAATTCATGCTAACCAAGGTTTTAGTATCTGTTCCAGATAGGGCCTTCCCCAGAGGAAAATATGAGTGGGTGGTCAAGTTTGGAAATGAGAAAAGAGGCCTGAATGATAGTTTCTCCTTCTTTCCGCCTCAAAAATACTAAGCCTTCAGATTACTGCAACACAGCTTGAAAAAATTTCATGACTTTTAGGACTACGTAACTTATTCTGTGCTATCACGCTAGCAATTCAGCACGCTCTGGTAAGACCAGGAAAATACAGACACCTGGATGGATAATGAGACAAGAAATGACTGTTAGCTGTTAATCTTTCCTTAAGTCTCCTGACTTGGAAAATGCCTTTGGAAGACACAGCTCCAAACATTTCAGCTTTCAAGCTAAAATGCATATGATGCTTCAAAGTCATATTTGGCAAGCCAGACTTTCCCAGCCATTCTTACACCATCCTTACAACAGCTCATATCTAAAGTAACTCCTTTTAAAATGCAGGTGTTTCCTGCACAGGACTTTTAAGAAATTTTTCCTTCTACCCATTCCTCCAGGTGTTGAAGGGAATGGAGACAGGTCAGAAGCAGGCTGGTATTGGTAATCTTGTTGGGAAAACAAGAGTTGTTACCATTTGGTTCTTCACCACTTATTAGGTCAATCCTTCATTTATCTGATTGCAGACGTTCCCATGTTTATGCATCAGATGAGGCACGTGGCTTGCAGGCCATCAGTCAGAAGCAGCCTTTAGGGGATGAGGCCACACGTGAGACTAGGTGGTGATGAGCTCCTTGCGAATGAGTCCAGTAGGACAGAAACTAAAAGATTGTTCAGTTCTTAGCTGGAAGGCCTGTAAAATGTGAGGCTCTCCCAGTGGCAGGGGATGTCACAGCAGATCCCAGTAGATGGATGACCTTGCTGGATGTCCAGACCACTCTTCAGATATTAGCATATTAGCCTGTGTCCTTACACTATTTCAGAGGAGACGCTAACAATCAAATCTGTTGGATGTTCATTTCCTTTCTTCTCACCCTCTTCACTCCCACCTGGTCACTAGAAATGACTTAATTACAGAAGTAAATGCCATAAAAACTTGTGTACAATCTGTGCAGGGTCCATTCAAGGGAGAAAAGGCCAAAGAAGCCTGCAAAATTAGGTCCTGTAACATATTTCACTGGATTAATTTCTAGAAATTTGAAATAACCTTAAGAAAGCAATGCCCCACAAGCAATACAAACCTCATCCCTTGCCTGGGAAATATCACAGGCCTGAGTTGGTGTAATGCTATAATGTGATGGAAAGCACAGCAATGATAGCAGAATAGCAAAATCCTAGACTGCAGCAAGTAGTGAGAATATGCTCTGTGCAGCAACAGTGGGAACATAAGCAAAGGAAAAAAAAAAAAAATCTGATTCCCCTTGGAAGGCCTCAGGCAGGCAGGGATCTCCAGATGAGATACCCTCACCTCTTAAACCCTTAAATGAGGTTCTGGGAAGGAATGGATCCTGGCTCCACCCCTTCCAGTCACTCAGGTGCGTTGCTTGCACCTGAGCTCCCCTGAGTTGGCCCTGCCTTCCCACCAGGAGCTCATCACTGCTTCAGGCTGTGACTCAGCATTTCCACTACAGTCAGCAATAGGCCCTACTGCTTCTGTGCTAAGGGACAGTGCATACTCCTGTCAAAAGCCATACATGGTTTTGAGAGCTAGCATTGCACTAGAATCTGAGCTGAGAGGCTGTTGTGCCAAGGGAAGTGTGGTGCAGTAAAGTACCTGCAAAAGTGATCTGGTCATAGGGATGACATTTCACATGTCACTTTACAGCTGTGGGGAGAGTTCATAATTTCTTTCACATCTTCTGTTGAAGCTTGATTCTTAGAACAGTGGGAACAGGCTGAAAGAGAAGATCCCTCATTAGTACTTGGAGCTCCAGAATATCTGGAAGTGCTTGATCCAAATGCCTTCTTCAACAAAGTAAATCATAACAGAGTGAGAAGAGTAGAGAGAAGAAAATCTCAGTAAAGAAAAAAGTCTTTTAGATCTAGTTACTTCTATTTTTCCTTGGTGGGACTCATCCCTGTAGTAGATCTGAACATGACTAGCCCGTAGCCATAATCTGACCTGGTCCATCTTACACAGATGTTATCTGTGTAGTGTTGTATGGATAAAACTGTACTTATTAGCAGGGAGTTAGAACTCCAGTCTGACACAAAGACAAGCAACAGCCACATGCTGAGACAAAGTCAGCAGGGAAATAATGGTAAAAGTTACTGTCACTACATGCAGCTTACCAGCTGAGTGAGAGAACAGTGGTGTTAGCATAAGGAACCAACAAACCAGCCCTCTGAGGTCTCTGAGAAACATTTGTGCCTCAGCATCTAAGATTGGCTTTTGTTTTTATAATTCAAGCTGGATCCCTGTTCTACTTCAGTAAATTGTAATTGCACAGACTATTAAACACTGCGTTTTTGGTTAAATTAATTGGAAGGATGAGAAAAAAGCCCAGAGAGTTTTCATTCTTAAATTACTACGAAGACAAACTGGTTAGGCTGTGAGCTCCTCACATTAGGAGATGTGAACCTCAACAAAGCACCTACATGTTTTGGTCACCACAACAATCACACATCTGAGAACCCTTATTTCCGTTTTGCTGTATCTTTTCTATTCCCTCCCACACTTCAGCTACTCGAAGCATGGCTTTTTGAGCTCAGAAATGACTGAGCTCTTGGTCCAGCTTTCCCTACGTGAGAGCAACAGAAATACTTTCAGACGTATTCTAAGCTCCCGCAGTATCTGTTGAGTGGTGATCTGCAGCAACACCAGCAGGAAGCACGTGAAAGGCAGACATTTCCCTTCCCAGGCAGGTGGTAACGCACAGCAGCACCAAAGCATACAAACTGGGAAGTTGGTTTGAAATGCCAGCTCCGGTTCCTTACAGCTTACAAAGTGACTGCAAAGTGACTGTACAAAGCAGCACCGCCTGACTCAGCAGATCCACTCTGTGTGCATATTAGGAAAATTGGACTAAAAGGGAAATTCCCTTTTATGCAGCTAAGCCCATTGCTGTTGCAGGTGATCCCATTCTACCACACCGGTATGCTTTCTACATCTTAAGAGCAATCTGGTATCAATAGAAAAGGTATCTGAGAATGCTCCAGAATCTTACTCCTTTAATGCTAGGGAACCTTTTAATTTCCAAGCCTGTATTTGTTTAGAGAAAGATCTTTGAATTACACTTTTTCCCGTAATTAGAAGCTCATTACCCCTGCAGCTAACAGCACAGGCTGCTTGGTCATGACATTCATATTTTCAGATTACTGCTCTCCCATCAACACAGCTCCAAGGCACAACAGAGAATAGCCATCACTGATGTCACAGAGGGACATGAGTGGAAAATTAGGAAATGCATAGGTGTTGCTAAGGGTCTCTGCCTTCCCCAGGTGCTTCCTTTCTTGGTCATAAAGCACAGAGGAGTAATCAGCCCAGCCTAATGCCATGGTCACATAGTTTTTTGAAAGGCTGTGGTTGGTTAGGAGGGGAAGAGAAACAGTAATGTTGCCTCCTTATTCTCACTTGCAAGTGACCTTGCTCAGAATTGAAATAGAGATAACACGAGATATGAGGATGATGAACTCACAAGTGTTCTTGAGCGAGCCAAGTCCCTGCTGCCTAACGAATGAACCTGTTTCTGGTGGGGGTTACCACTGTGATCATGATGAGTTAATACACTCAACCTGGTGGCTTTTGGTCTAAGCGTGCTGAACACAGAGCGCTCTCAGTTTGTCTTCGACCTTCACTTCTCCAGTGACCTGACAGACCTCGACTGGGTGATATTTATAACACGTTGCAAGGCCTGTTGTCTTTCTGCAGCACTGCTCTTCCAAACTACCAACAGGGTGCAGAGAGGACATATATTGCTGTTGACTTTTTGTACAGGCTGGATGCCTACCAGCCTTCGTAAATCCATTAGATTTAGATGCCCACATCTTCAGGGGCTTTCTCGTTGGCCATCTTAGACATGACTAGGAGCAGCAGCTATCTGATGAGAACTAGTAAGTTGCCACCTGAGGTCCTCTATGCAATCACAAAACTTGTTGACATGTCTGGATTACTGAAGACTTCATAGTGTTGGGCAGGGCACCTCACCTTTGCTCTTTTGGGACCAACAAAGAAGACAAATACAAGACTCCTGATTACTGTTTTGTTTTTTTTTTTTTTTCTCCCCTAAAAGTGCTCAAATTGCAGTGCTCGTCTATTCTGTAGCCCTAGCACTATACATTCTCGTAATATTAGCTCTGTGACTTTTCTGAGAGATTGTCCAAGCAGGGTGTATAGACAGATATCATTTTGAAACTGTTAGTGCTCAGCTGTGTTGATGATGCTCACAAAGATTCTTGACATCTTCAAGCATCCTAACGCATAAAAATGGACCTCTCAACCTTTCTGAATACAACTCCGTTCTTTGGAAATAGTCTGACCTTCTTTCAAAACTCCCAAGACAATTGGAGTCTCAACTTGGAACCCTAGTGCTGAGTGCACACAAAATACAGGAAAGTCCTGAGCCAGGCTTAGATTTTGTGACAGTAGATGCAGCATTAAAAAAAGAAAAAAAAAGAAATGAGAGGAAGGTACAAAAATACTTAGTGTATCAGTATAGTTTCTATAAATGTGCATTTTACATAGTTAATGCAGTAAGCAGTAGGAAACTGTTTCTGGAAAAAGGAGCTTTACTTACCGTGCCTTGGGAGGTATTTTGCTGCTAGGCTGACAGCCAAAAGGAAGGTGATAATGATGATACTTGAAGCAGTAATGACATTATAGGATGGAAGTGCAGTAGAGACAACGCAGTCGTTGGCTTTTGCTGAGACAGAAGAAATAAAGCATAAGTATGGGGCCCAGCAACATTTTGTCATTTTCATGCAATAGCAGGCGTGTCAATTACGGTAGTTCAAGCCAAATTCTAGCTGGGATATTTAGCCTGAAAATACACCTATTCAGTAAGAAAACAGACAACGCTGGCACCTAACCGATAGAAGCCCTTCATTTTCCCTCCATGTGCTGTATACTGAAATTTTTGTCACTACCACAGAATCCAAAATGCTGGACAGACTTAAGTACTTCTTAAAGTAACTGGTTAGTCTTAGTGGAAAAGACTTATCCAGAAAATTTCCGTTCTCAAATACATTCCACAGTTTTTCTTACTTTTTTATCCAAATTTACGCTTATTTTTTCCTCTCTATGGATTCACAGGTGGTGGAAAACAACATGTTCTTTCATTTCATCTTTTCAAGATGTCTTTTTTTTTTTTTTTTTCTTCCTCCAAAAGAATGGTCAGGTGCTGGAACGGGCTACTCAGGGAAATAGTGGAGTCACTGTCCCTGGAGATGTTCAAGAAACATTTAGATGTCATACTGAGGGATGTGGTTTAGTGGGAAATATTGGTGGTAGATAGACAGTTGGACTGGATGATCTGGAGGCCTTTTCCAACCTTGGTAACTGTATGATTCTATGCATTTAAAGGACTGGAGGCGTCATTCTCAACACAGAAGGAAAAGGATCTCAGCAGACAGTTCAGCGTCAGTGGGTCTGTCTCTTTTAGCTGTTCACCACTAGGGATGACTACTCCACCACTTGGAAATACAAGTAGATAACAGACCACGTATATGGTACAGGACAATCCTAATCTAAGAGAAAGGACACACTGAGTATCTGTTCATATGTCTTCAGATTTTCATTGTCTGCATTTAGCACAATTAAGCATCATCCAGCTTCTAAGATACTACTTTGACCTGCTGTACAATCTGGCCTCATACATCCCCCAATGCAGAGTTTGGCTCCTGTGTTTACCAGAAGCTGTGTTCTGTCCAGACAGAAGACTTGTTTGGAGGACTATTTTCACTGTGCCAAAGTGGGAGTGGTTGTACTTCTTAAAAGTCAAAAGGCAAGGGCTTTGTGACTGTGTCCTCATTGTTGATTGCACCCTTCTCTGAAAATGTGTGACAACAGGGTATTACTATTACTTCTATTTTGTCACTCTCCTTTTTCCTGTATGATATTTATAACCTTCTTTTTCTATCATCATCTCTAGGGAGATTACACACTGTGCCCAGCAATAACCAATATTCATGAAGCGCTGGCTTCCAGCATTTGTCCTGAAGCTGAATGGCACTTCTCCTCACAACCCCCTTTGATTTTAGAAAGGCTGAAAAATAAAGTACCTTGATGAATAAGGTACAATTCCTGGGACACATAGCACTTTTCTAGCTTTCCTTTAAGCTGTCTGCATCTCTACAATGAAAGCTTCAGACCTAGAGACATATTTTAAAATAATTTTTCTTTGGCAATAACAGAGCCAAAAGGATTTTTTTTTTTTTTTTTTTTGGCAAATCCCTTCCTGCTGCAAAACACGTAGACTGTAGCATGCTTCCTTGCCTCATACTGTTTCCACTCATCCCTCAAGCTTTCCAAGGGACAGGCTAAGCTATTACATTATCACTTCCAGGCCCAACAAAGTGATGGAATTTTATCTGTTTGAGTTAACTCTATATTAAATGTGTATGAAAGCAGTATTTTCTCTAGTCCCTCAGCTAACATCTTCTGTCACTGAAGCAGGAACAAACATGCTTATGAGGTAAGGAAATTCTTTGTAATCATAACCTCTGAGGCACACACATTTCTCAAGTCCCTCCATTCAAACATCAGGTCTGTGTCACACTACTGGCAGTGAGACCATGCTGGTACAGAAGAACACTGAGTAGTGGCAGCCCCAAACCGTGAGAGCCACTGGGACTGATGCCACCTGATCACAGCAGGATCCAACTGCCCTGTCAACCCAGCTGTGATTCACCAGGAAGCAATGGGAAGCATGAGCCATCTGCTCATTCACCAGTCAGTGATGTAACCCACCTCTCCATCTTTCCCCTCCACCCTTCAACTTAAGAGCCATTGAACTATCTTGGTGGGCTGCTCATTGAACCACTGTGTCATCCTCATATCAGCAGATATGCAGAGATTTACCATTTCTTCAGAGGCAACTCAGCAGGTTCAATAAAATAGTTCTCTAATACAAACTACAAGGGCTGTTCCAATAGTAATACCTCCTACTTTATGATGTTGGCCCACAACATCATGGCAGTAGAGGCTGAACCTTCCCACCAATATTCCATTACATGTTGCCACGCAACAGATGGCAGCAGAGAGGCAGTCTGAGGCAGTGGCATCTGACATGGATGGGCATTTGAAGCAAAGGTGTGTCATGTAATTCCTCCATGCAGAAAAAGTTGCAGCCATTGATGTCAATACTTGCTGAACACTTATGGAGACCAAACCACACACAAACACAAAGAGGCAGTGGGTGGTGCACGTCAGCAATTACACTGGTCATAGCAGCTATGAAACAGAGGGTCACCCCTGCTGGTCACCCCCACTGGCAACAATGCATAACTAATAGTTATGACTACGCTGAAAAGTAGTGTTTCGTAGAACAAATTCTCAGCTATTGATTAGTGTTACTGTGCTCTTTGTATCTGCTGTAGCTTCCGCAGAAAGAAATAGGAGGTATTATTTTTGGAGCAACCTACATAGTATGAAAACCTACCTAGAAGCAAGCTGGTGGATGTGAGTAAACCATCATATTCAATGAAACAAGTGAAGTTGATATCTTTGGACACGTTGAGCCACAGCGTGCCAGTGACGTTGTATGGGCTGAGGCTGGACTCAGACTCCCAGGTGGTATTCAACACCGCAGACATGTTGTTGAGGACTCCGTAGATTTTGGGTTTGGGGAAGCCTCCATGAGAAGAACATCTTACCACCATTTCTGTTGATTCACATGAACTAGCTGTTACTTCTCTTTCTACGTTCGGCTTGCTGAAGTCAGCTGAAAAAAGAAAGATTTAGAAAACATTTAGAAACCCATGGTGAAAGCCAAGATCCTCCTATGAGATGTCCCTCAACTATCATAATTTGTTTGGTTTTTCTTACGCCTTGCATTCTCCCTCCAGCCCTGGCCTCTTTGTCTGTAGACTACAGTCAATCATTAATCATTTATTTCTGATAAAACAGAAAGGAGCTTTACTGGAAGGCATGAAATTAGAGTGTTTGTGGTGAGAAGAGATTCATTGCTGCACATTTTTCATGTGGCTAACTTCTCAGCCCTCAGCAATACTCCTCTCCATGAGAGGGTTCTTACAGTCCAGTTCCCTACTTTCTTCTTGGCTCCCATAAAGATAACAGAATGTGACTCTTTGCACAGATGTCCATCATTCATCTACTTGGGTCAGCAAGCAGTGGCCAGATCTCAGAAGCTTGGGAATATTTTTGCTGGGGAATTTCATTTGAGGGGGGGAAAAAATGCTCCTTCACCAACTTGTTTGGAGGATTTCTGGAACTCTCTGCTGCTAAAGGTATTCAAATGTATATATAAATATATACGTGCATCTTACCAGTATCTCTGCTTTTGGCTGAAACCAACCACCAGAAAAACAGTGGTGCAAATGGAAAATCATGTCAATGGAACTTTTTGTAGCCTCCAAGAAAAGATTCAGATTCATTTTGAGCAACTTGGATGAGGAACTTGAGTGGTTTCTTTGAGGTAAAAAGCCTCAAATCTTCAGTTAAGCTCAGCTTTGGGTTGCGGAGCTGCTGTGCAGCTCATGTGCAGGCCAGCCCCCAGGAAGTGTTTCTGTGGCACAGAAAAGCCTTACAGGAGGCTTAATGCACACTCTGGCTCTCTTTCAGGCATCATGGTGAAAGCATCTCTGCTACACTATGCTGAAAGCTTCAAGGAATATCCCCTTCTCCCTAGAGGTTGGCACTAGAAAGCCTCACATGTGGGGAGGCAACCCACCTACCAGTAACAAAGAGGGTCACGGGCTCTCCGCACAAAAGATGAGATCCAGGTTTGTCCGGTGAAGACTGGAGACTCTGAACAATACATTGGTAAGGGCCGCTGTCCAGGATTTCCACACCAGAGATCCACAGGGTGAGGTTCTCAAAGTCCAACTTTGTCCGGTTGACATAGCGTGGGTGCTCAAGGATCTTTTGCCCCCCTGAGTAGGCCAGCACCACATCCGTAACGTTCATCTGCCAATACACACGGTAGTTTTGCAGGCTCTCTGAGCTGGGAATTTTGTAACAACAAGGCAGGCCGACTTTTTCTCCTACTTTGCTTTTGGCCACTTTCTTCTCCTGTGCACAGCCTGTTGAGGAGCAAACAAAAGGCACTGAGACAGTGGTACAGCCAAGGTCTTCCGCATAGAGCTCACCTATTTCAGCTCAGTCTGCACCCATTAACGTACCTCAGCCCTCCATCTGCTGAGCAGTCTATATCTTCAGCTCTGCACTGAAGGGAGGACTGTCTTACAAATGCTTTCCATGTGATGCTCAAGTCCTTTTTAAGACTTAGGGTACACAACTGTTTCAGTGTTAATTACTGAAGGCAAAAGCAGGAGACTTGCCTCCCTGGACAGAAGTTGTGACACTTTGAAAACAACACTCCAGATTAAAGAACTGCCATGACAGCCATAAGGAGGAATAAAATCAATAAATAATAATAAAAAAACCACAACCAAAAACACCACACTGCCCATCTGCTATCTTCTCTGCTCAGTGTTTAGCAAGTCCATGTCCTAACTGTTTTGCATTCCCTGCTTCCAGACAGGGCCACAGTAGATAAATAGATTGTAGGTTTTGATTTGTGTTTTTATTTTTTATTGTTAAAAAAAAAAAAAAAAAAAAAACACACACACAAAAGCACAACAATGACAACAGAAAACCAACCATTTTAAGATCCCAGAAACAGCCCTGCGGTAATGAAGAGCAGAAAGAGACATTTTTCATCACTGCATTAGCACAGCACTCACAAGCGATCAATTTTTCATAACCTAGCTAAAACAAACTTGTATTTTTGAAGGCCTGTGAGCCTCCCCTTCAGCCCCCTTTTGAATTACATGCAAACCAGGACAGACATTCCTAAACTGCTCGTGCCTGTGTGTCATATCTCAGCACACAAGCGTGTGCTTATGATAACAATCTGGGACCCCAATCTGGGACCCTTGCAAGGGGGAAGTTACAACAACTTTGACCTGCTTAGCTGTAATCCTCTATTTTGCATTACTGCTTACCCACTTCCCTTCTTCTTTCCAGTGGGTGGGTACTCACCAGTGCCAGGACCATAAGCACAAGGGTGCAGCCCAGCCAGGAGCTTCTGCCAACACAGCACTGATACGCAACCCTGTGCAGCAGCAAGGCCAGGGCAGGTATATTTGCTTTTTCCTGGGCCTGCGCAGCTTCTGGAATGATGCTCATCCTCTACACACCCCATTTCAGAAGATTGGGTTGTTTCATATTTGTCCTGCTTTCCTTAGCCTCATGCTGTTGGCACTTACCTCCAGGAGTCAGAGATAACTCCCAGATCCCAGGGATACCCACAAGCAACCAGCAGCTATGTGGCATACTGACTTGTGCCTGGTGGGCCTGAGGAGGTGCTCTGAAAGCCTCCAGGTGCTTGGGAGAGACAGGCAGTGCCCCAGCATGTCCTAATTTTGGGTAGCGCAACACCACAATGGAATGGAAAGCACAACATTAACAGTGGGGTGGCTGCAGCAAGCAAGGAGAAGCCCAAATGCAGAAGCAGAGGACAGAAAAACAAAGGAAAAAAGTTGCTCACCCACAAAAGATCCCAGGTAGACAGAAATCTCCAGGTAAGCTACCTTTACCTCCACTGCCAATCCTTAAATGAGATCTGAGAAGGGGTGGATCCTGGCTCCACCCCTTCCAGTCACTCAGCTGCATTACTTGCACCTGAGCTCCCCTGGGTAGGTCCTGCCTTCCCACCAGGTGCTCAGTCACTGTTTCAAGCTGTGACTTAGCATTTCTGCTACAGGTAGCATTGTGTGTTGCATGCTGATGTTTAGCAGTCCCAAGACCAGAACCTGAAATGAGCTTTCACCCTGTCCTGCCTGCGTGCTTTACATCAGAGCCATCAGAAATGGAATAGGATGTTTTAATACCCATTACAAGAAGTTGAATGTGAAGCTAAATAAATGAATTCTCACTGAGCTGTTTCCGTCCCCCACTCAGCCACCTCATCGATCTTCCAAAAGGAAAGGTCTGACAGATGCAGACACAATTTTCCCCACTACCTGTACTTCCTCTTATGAAGAGTGCAGACCAGAGCCACCAGGCAGGGGCAGACCAGGAACCCACTCATCCCACTGACCTGTTTCAGCCCACTGATCTGTGTCTGCTCACTGACCTGTGTTGGCCCACTCAGCCCACTGGCCTGTGGCAGCCAGTCACTGGCAGAAAATGGTAGAAAAAGCCGTTCTTGCTCAAGCCAAGGTGTGACACACCCAGCTAAGATTTGGCAGTCACAAGTTGACAGACTTCTTGACATCAGCAGCTTAGTCACTACTGATGTAGCTACCTTTTGTGAGCAGTCCCTGTCCTTTGGGAATGCACACATATCTTTGGCTTCCATAGCATCCCATGGCAGTGAGTTGCATGGTTTGATTTCATACTGTGTGAAAAAGCACTTGTTTCCATTTGCCTTTCAGGTGACCCATTCTGGGCTGTGATTCTTGAAGTTCCTCCCACTGTGTGTCTGCAGGCATTGCGTGTGGGTCTGCTTGTGTTTTTCCTCAACCACATATTTGCTTTTTCACACAGTTCAGCTCTTGTGCAGGCAAGACCTCCAAGAGCAGCCAGCAAAACTTTGGGATTGTGGATCCTGAAAACGACAATGCAGTTGAGTATGTATTTATTTTCTATTTCCTTTTGCAGCAACAGGGGAAGAGTAGGCGTACAGAAAATGTCAGTGTGACGGCACATCATGGGTTGCATGAGGTTCTCTGTGCCTTGCCCCTAAGAGTCTCCTTTGCTGCCAAAAGGAGAACAAAAACCTCCGTGGCAGTACATATACAAGGGCTGGAAACTCCTGCTGATGTCACATCTACCCTTACAAGGCGCTGCAGCCTTGAAACTGCAACCTGAGTGCTGAGGGCCTGCAGGAATCAAAGTCCATGAAGAGCCATTCAGCCCGACAAAAGTCCCCTTTCACTTTAAAGGTGAACTGCAAAGCAAAAATGAAAGCTCAGTTCTGTCCCATTTCTGTGTTGAATACCCTCCGTAGCCAGGCTGTGAGGGAGGCATCCGCCATGGAAATAATTTTTAATTACTTTTTTAGAAAAAGAAATAAGCCACCCTCCTGCCCTTGGTGAAGCCCACCCACTCCCTCACTGTGTGCTTGTGTTTCTCCCTTGCTGGCAGCCTGCACTGTGTGGCCGATGCTGACCCTTTTCCCCAGGCAGAGAAGATGCTCCATTCAAATTGCTGCTGTGCTGCAGCTGCCCCCAAAGCAAGGCTAATTGGAACAGAAAGGTGAGCTTAGAGGAAAGGCACTGGTTTTGTACGCTCTGAGAATCAGAAAGCAAGAAGGCCGTTGGGTCTTTAACCAACATCTTTAGTCTTTCACAAAATCTTCAGCAAACCCACATAGAGGGAAAGACCCTGCCTGGTGGGCCCAGAAACCTTTGCCCCTCTGGGGGCAGCACATCAGACAGTGCATCTGCACACTTCTTCAGCTGGCAGTTTTGCAGAAAGCTCTCAGGCAAACTGTCAGGCATTTATATTAGCTTGAACATTCAGAAATTTCGAAAAACTGAATCTCCAAGGGGCTGAGCACTCCCCATTGGTCTTTACCCCAGTTGATTTTACTGGTGAGAGATCTGAATCTTTCAAAGATTTTCATAGCAAATGTCCTGTGCAACGCATGAATACTGGAATGAATACTTTAAGCTAAACTAGCCACTCTGCACCGCTCCGGCAAAGCAAAGCAGCTGCTGTCTGTGTTCAGTTAGCTGCTGTCACAGTGACCTCCTAACAGGTCACGTTCAGTTACTCATCCCAGATGTGGTGGGAGAGCAGAGAACTCCTTTGTATTCTGAAGAAAACCTGCCTCCCACTTCATTTGGCTGCAGATCCATTCAGTCTCATTTCCTCCTACACACTACACAGTGTGCCACAGCAATGAGAGGGGAGGATTATTCCTAGTTTACATTGATGTCATGGCAGGCCTGAGACAGGGAGAGGGTTGGAAGAGGTTTCCTAAATGTTTGGCTCTGCTTCCTTTTGCAGTGTAACAGCAGTGTGAGCTGTGCTCCCCACCTCTGCGTGCCTCTGTCTTCAAAGCCATACTCCTGCTAACAGATCAGTAACTGCCTTTAAAGAATAAATCCTTGAAATCATGTGGTTCAGGCTGTGAAAACCAGAGACCTTCCTGCATCTACAGGCATTCCATACCCTCCTTCCATGCCATGAAAGCATCCAGAATGGCACAGGAGGTCATGCTGTAACTGAGTCACTGCTCTGTCATAAACCTGGCTTTAATGGGAAAGGAACTCCACCGATGACAAAAACTTCCATGATCTGTGATTAGTGACTAAGAAGGAGAAGGAGAATCTGAAATGCTCTGATGAAGGGGTTCAGAGCAGCACGAGGGCCACAACAGCCAACCAGTCCTTCTCCCTTTGTTCCTGCTCTCCCCAGCCCTGTCTGGGAACTTCTTGAGATAAAAATCTGCCACTCTCTGAGTCACGCGGGCCCTGAGCTGGGACAAGCCCACCGCCTGGGTATGTCCAGTCTGCTTTGCTTATAAGATGAGTAAGACCGCAACTCCTCTCACTGCAACTTAGTTAGTACATGTCTAACCTCAGCACTAGCCAGGCCACCTCTGAGCGTGGGGCTGAAAAGTACTTGGGAGATGATGGCGTTGACGGAATAGCTTCTTGACATCTCCCCCTTTGTTGCAAAGTCCTCCACATGGGCGTTTCATGGGGAGGAAAGGGTGGAGGGCATGCTTATGTGTTGCTGGCATGCACTGGGAGGGACACTGGCGGTGGTGACGGAAGGACATTTCTGACTTGGGGAAAGGAGTAAAGGGAAGTCTGTCTGAGCCTTCCCCTTCTCCATTCCCAGTACTGGGAGCGGGTGACCCAGCCAGAGGAAAAGGCAGGGGAAACACTGAATCTGGATGCCCGCAGAAGATTTGCATGTTTTAGTTCCTTTTGAGATCAAATTCCTGCAACTGACTGAGCACTCTTATGATTCCCAAGTTCCAGCAGAAACTAGATGTGGCAGTTGCGTAAGACAGGCCTTTGGGGGGGATCTGTAGCACACAAAGACAAAAATAAACTTGCTAATTTTTTTCCCCAGAGACCGTGTCCCTTGCTGACTGTACGACTTCGTATTCCTCTGTATCTATCCCCAAGCTGGAGATGCCCTCAGATCATTCTATAGACTCTTCCCATGCTGCCACTATAAATACTGCAGTCTTCACAGTAAAGCTTTGGAAGCTGAGGTCTCCCCACTGCCGAAGGCCTCAGTTCCTTCAGTGCTCACTAAACCTCACTGCCTCACATGCTCCCCACGTAGCCAGCCCCTCTTGAGACTAACAGGAGGTGAAAGTGCCCAGCAACCACAGAAAGCAAGCAGTATACCTTTCACGTAAGCCTGCTCAGAATTAGAAATCATTTTTTATTTTCTCTGAAGTACCTGTCCACAGCCACAGCACCATTTACCCGTGCAGGTGTGCCCTGTCTGTTGGGTACATGCAGCTACACCACAGGGTCCCTGCCACAGGCAGAGCAGCAGTGTGCAGGTGCCCCTGCTACCACACGGTAGCATCTGGGGCTCACCAAGGCACGAGCATCTTTAGAGCACAGCGTAGCTGGAGGTGCCACTCAGCACTCAGCACTTTTATTTTTAGCCAGGCAGTCCCCTGGGACTAATGATGTTTTAAAAGCATAACAGTGAAAAAGCAGAAGCAAAGCTCGTGGCATTTCTGTGTTGGGAAAGATTTACATACTCTCAGACGACCTACCGAGACTCCTGAGAGTGGTGCCCCTCCAAGGGGACAGAATGGCTGCAATCAAACATACAGTTCATATCCACAAAAAGAAAGCCGACTTTTTCACCAAGCTTAAGTGAGTCTAATATATTGGCCTTGCTACATCATCATGAAGAACACTGTGTTTAAGGCACGAATGTAGGAAACACAATTAGAAAGGAAGTAGGAGCAATCTGATCATGGGAGTTCTACTCCATTCTGGTCTCCAGCTGCAACTGGATGACAAATTTGCCCCACTCGCAGCTTTCTCATACAGAAAAAGGAGACCTTGCTCCCCCTTCATTTCCAGCCCCATGTGTTTCCGTGGCGTTCTCTTAAGGAATCCCTAGAGGCTGGGTCAGTGTGCCTTGTTGGCAGGAAACAAGTGGGAAAAAAAGAGACTTTCTGGCAGGCTGGGAGCTGGACAAGTTCACTCCATGGTCAGAGAAGGGCCAGAGACAGCATCAGCGAGGGGACGGGAGCGGGTTACCTATACCATCCTGACGACGCTGCAGCTCAGCTCAGGGCAGCAGTGAGCTGGAGCAGTGTGAGGGCGTGCAGGGCAGCCTCAGGGTGTAAAAATTTCAGCCCCAAACTTTGCATGTTTAAATGCGGGAATGTCTGACATTCACATCACAAAGAGACTACAAATGCTTCGGTGCTCCAAGAAAAGGACAAAGGCCACAGAGTGATGACCAGAGTTAATTGGGTTCACTCTGATCTAGTTGGACACAATGTGGTTGAAATGTTGGACCTATGCAAACTCCATACATGTGTGTAACTATGATTTGCCTGTGTAAGAATTTTGCTTGTCTGTTCAATATTTTTTCCTCCCCCAAATAACAGTTTCATTCAAAAAATCCAGAAATAGCACAGTGGGATCTATAAAGAAGAACAGGAGCCTTAGCTGGGTTTCTGTTTCTTCAGACAGGCTTTACAGCAGGTTTCGTTCTGGATAGACAGGCGGACAGAAACGGGAGCTCCTCAGTTCTGCAGCTCTTGCTTTTAAACCAAAGACTTTTCTGAGTATCTGGAGCCGGAGGAGACAGACACTCATCCAAAAAAAGAAAGACAAAAAAAGCCGAGGGCAGCAAGAGTAATAAGACACAAACTCCATTTGCATCCACTGGTGAAGTGGGCAAATCTCATACAGATAGAAAAGTTTCTGGCATCTCCGCCATGCAATTTGCCCTCAGCACACCCCATGCTGGAGCTGGCGCAGCAATTAGGCACAAAGCACCTGGTGCTCATTACCAGCCTGCCAATATTCAGGGGAGGCCATGGAACAGAGAATCTTCCTTACCCTCCGTACTCCTTTCTGAAACCCAGGTCCTCTCTGAGCTCCTTACTTGTGGTAAGATGTGAAGGGGATTTCCAGAGTGAGTTACATGTGAGCAAACATTCCTTTGCCATGCTGAGGAAAGTGAATATTCCCCCCTCCCTTCCCCAGCTCTACAATAACTTTGACAAGCTGTAGGAATTTCCCTCAAAATTTCCCAAAGATTTAATAACTGGGAAGAGCCAGAAACTGGACAGTCTCTGGTAGCTGAAAAGATTCCAGGGAAGCCAAAAAGAAATACTCCATGGACCAGACATGGGGTGGCTCGACCCTGCCATCAGCACCATTGCCAGCTTGGCACACTGGGCAGGGACAGGTCTTTCTGGGCTACTTTAAGTGATGTTTTCCCCGTATAACAACCACATACTGAGGAGGACGTAGCCATCCTTCAGGCGATAGCTAGATGTGAAGGTGCAATGGCAGGCGAAAAACAAGCCCACAGGGATACTATCAATAGACCATAAATAAATAACTTTGCGCTGTAATCAAGGCTGTAATTGAGGCTGTTCTGCTGCTTTTCCACTGCTCTGAGACAGCAGGGCATTCGTGTGCATCAGCATCTCCATCAGCAGATGACATTTCAGGAGCAGCGCTAAATTACAGTGGTATTTCATCAGGTCACCTCAGGTGAACCTCAGAGCAGGAAAATTCGATTTATATAAATATAGATAGATAGGTATACATAGTTACATGTATATCTATCTATCTATATCTTTATATACATACATAGATATAGATAGGTAGGTAGATAGATAGATAGATAGATAGATAGTTATATACATATACCATGAGGTGAGATTAGTTCTGAAGTTGCTGGCCCTTGTGCCCTGCTTAGTGCTGCAGGAAGTCGCTGGCAGGGCCGTGGCAGCTCCTAGGGCTGCATTGCTCTGCCACGAGAAAGTCAGAAGCTGGTCTTTGTGATCCCTGTGGAAGGGCTATGGGAGGCAGCACCTCCAAGTCCTGAAAAGGCTCACGTGTGATAGCGTACCATGGAGTTTTAAGGATCATCAGTGAAGGAATACCCCTTTTGGGAGAGAAGAGTGGCGGGGTTTGTATGTATGCATACAAATGGAGAAATAAAGCATGTCGGCTGTGCTGTCCTTATCAGCCAGAACCAGGAATTCCACAAACTTATTGTGTGAGAAGGATCTAACAACTACACCCCGAAAGCTGACATAATGCTTCCAAAACCGCTTTTTGTCCACTGCCAAATCAAACCCTGCAATTCTGTAATCAATCAGGTTTAGAAAAGTAACTCTTCTCAGCAACGGGGTGACCAAAGTCAATGCAGTTTTGCTTTGTGTTTCCCAGCCCTCTCCCCACATCTTCCAGCTGATTCCCATCTCCTCAGTGCTGCTGTGCTGGTACAGCTCCTTCCAGATGCTGTTGGCTGGGCATTAGGGGCCCACAGCATTCCTGCTATAGCCCTTCCAGCTCTGCCTTCCTGTCAGCAGTGATGGAAACTGCGCAGGGAGTTCAAAAGTTACGAGCAGAAGTCTAAGAAAAAGCTGGAGAGAAGGCCAGCAGAACGGACGAGCATTCTTTTAGTAAAACATATTGAAAAACTACACTAACCACTAGGACTGCTAGTTTGCTGATATTACCAAACTCATATTTCTGGTACTGATGATTAGCATCAGGCTGTATATCTAAGTATTACTTGTGTTTGGACTTGGAATCAGCATCCTTTTTAGAAAATCTACAGGATTGATGATTAATGTGCACACATTACTACATGAATAGCGTAACACAAACCCAGAAACTCCTAAATTACAGACGGAGAAACAGTTCTGCCCATGATGAATTATTTGCTGATCACAGTCTGGGCAAAATATGCCCATGCCTGACATGTGTTTTGTAAGCACAGAGGCCATGGAAGGAGTGTGGGGAAGACAGGAGAACAGAGAGCTCACAGGAGTGGTCCAGAGGCTGCTTTTTCACCAGCTGGCTCCGCGATTTCATCCCTGCTAAATTCTCTGAGTTTTGTTTTAAGATTCTGAGAGTGAAAGTCAAAATGAAACCCAGCGGAGAGTATCAAATATCTTGCAGTTTCACAACACCACCATGAAAACCTCCTTATTTTGCAGCAGTTTTAATCAAACCCCAATTCAGCCCCGGTTTGCTCCAGAGTTTCATTATCTGCAGTGAGGCACCACGACTGCAGGTAAGCACAGGCTGTGAGCACAAATCCCAGCTCAGGAGTGAGCTTTGTGTGGTTATAAGGTTAGCATTTCACACATCTCAGAAGAATCAACCCAAGCCCTTTGAGGTCTGGGTGATCTGTGGGCTTTCATGAATGTTGTGGCCCATACTGGGGACAGCCATCACTGTCCTCTGACACAGAGCTGTGCTGCCTGAGGGACCCCTTTTTGTGCTACAGCACAACACACCGCCCTGTCCTGTCTCCCCACCACAGACTCACTTTCAGCTACCCAAAAAACTCCAGAAACTGCTCGAGCACAGGAGCCCAGGAGCCAGCAGCTTGCTTCTCCCCCCAGACCCAGCACATCGTTTCTTCCTCATGGAGCAAGCTTGAGCCACAAGAATTCTTCATCCTCCCACCTCAACAGCAGAAGTTCAGCAGCCAGGAACATTTGTGTCAGCCAGGGAGAGGCTGTAAGAATGCCTCATCCATCTCTGCCATGACAGAGGAACTCAAGAAGAACAAGCTGGCCCTGACCAAGACAGCATGCCTCTCTCACAGAGGGAACAACAATGCGGATGCTTCACTTACCCAAAGTAATGCAATAGAGCACGATGAGCCCGAGCCCGAGCCATCTCTTCAGGGGCCAGCTGGCTGGCACTGGCAGGCACCCCATCTTCGTGCAGTGCTGGGCCAGCAGCCGGAGCACCTGCAACCTTCTGCCACCTGCTTCCTCCTCAAGAACCCACCGGCACAGGCCTTGCTGAGTCGGCTTCCCTCTCTGTCCCCTTGGGCTTCACCAAGCGAGCGATGCCACCACCTCCGTGCTGGGAAGGAGGCAGGAGCTCAGCACCCGGCCACGGGTCACCACCAAACTCTCCCGGCTGCTGAGCCGTGGGACTTTTGCTCCTCACCAGGCGCTGGAGGAAGGCTGGGACAGGCGCGGGTGCTGATGCTGATAAGCTGACTCACGCCCACCCGCAACTTCCTCGTGGGGCATGCGCGAGGGCGGGCGCCCGTGGCCACAGCCCTGCAGGGCCGCATGGGGTGTGGGAGCCACCCGGTCCTCAAAACAGAGGGGCCAGAGGGTGTGGGGCTTGGAGGGAAGGAAGGGCTCCTGCAGGTGGTGGGAGTAGCGGTCAGGCGGAGTGGGCTTTGAAGGTTAGGTTGAAGTTAGACGTCTGATTCTACACAGGGAATAATCCCATCAGATTAAAACTGGAATAAATGAGAATAACAAATAATTTCAAGTTGAGCTGTGTGTAATCAGGCAAGCAGTCATCCAGCTTGCTTTCATGAAGAGCGTTACAGGAAAGCACCTCTCCTGCCATGGCTGAGTGCCAGAGGAAGCACACCCATGGCCATCCCCCTCTTGCTGCGGGCCCGCTCCAGGCTGGCTCGTGGACCCAGCTCCTCAACTGCAGCGTTAGGTGTGGGGCCATGGCTGGGCTCCCCTTGGTGCATGGGGCAGGGAGGCTGGCTGCACGGCCTTGCAGTGCAGGGCCATCCCGAGCACAGCAGAGCGGTCAGACATTTCCTGACAGCGCTGCTTCTCTCACATTCAGATGCAAAGCACGTTCTCGATAAATGGTTCCTCCTCCTGCCTGACCTATCTGTGAGGGATGCAGAGGTGATTTGATAGCTTTAACAAAGTTCTTGACGTACATCGTGGCTCAACTCTAGTTTCTGAACGCTCCGATATGACAAAACCAAGCAGATGGCACTTCTACAGAGAAATCAAATACCAGAGCAAGAACAGGTTGCACTTTTTTTTTCCCCCCCCAAAGAAATAAATATTATACATGAAAGATCATGCTGCTGAGTCAGAGTGGGGAGTCAGAGTCTCCTGTGTTTTATGATCCAGGCTCTGAATTCAATCCTGTATTTTTGTCCTCTACCCATGCATCAGCACAGTTTGAGAACAGTGGCAACAATAGGACCATACAAACACTTACAGACAAGTGTTTTCATGATACTTGGGGAACAAAAAAACCCCAAAGCAACCACGAACATGCCATGCTGTTCCTTTCTGTTTCTTTCAGTAGAGCCCCAGCTCTCCTCCCCACCCCTCCAATGTGGCTGTGCAGCGTTTTAGTCATATAGGGAGCAAACCTCTATCCTGCTTCATTATACAGTTACAAGCAAGCCTGTAAGAGCTGTGCAGTTTACCATCTCACTTTCATTTTAAATTCAAGATTCAAATCTAATTTTTTTTGCTATTAGTACATTACAGCTAGAAGGAAAACCCAGCTTTTTACACCCACATCTAAATTTCTTGCTCAAGGTTTAACCCAGTTCTTAGGCAAGCAGGGAAAGCAGCAGAGCTCCCCATCCCTGGGATGCCTGCCTTTGTGCTGGCTTCCCATCAGCCACCAACGTGAAGCACCGTGCCCCTCCTTATCTGCAGAGTAACCTGGAGCAGTTCATCGCCTCTTTATGGCTCTCTAGATTTGCTACAGAAAGCTGAACTCATGGATGTCATTCTCGGCCAGAGCTCCTTCTCTTTTCTTAAGTATTATGGCTGCTGGTATCTTGTAGTACATACAAAGAGCTCTCCGATTGCAAGATTACAATAACAGAAAGAACACAGCAGTCAAGTGCTTTGTTCTGCTTTGATCAGAGGCAGAAGTCATAATCTGCCCATCACTTAAAGCTTCCCTGAGCACACATCCTTGATTCTTGGAAGCCAGCTCTTCAAGGGAAGAAGTATTATGAATCCTCAGTCAGGAGTGCTAGCAAAGTTGAAGGACTTGCATTGAAACTCCTGTTCAAAAGAGACTCCTTGATAAGAGCATGATAGTGGGTACTATAAACTCAATAATTCACAGGGAAATCCCCATAGGAATGAGTTTTATTGTGCACTTTAATAAGCCTCCAGCATTTTAACTATATGTGCTCCACAGTCAATTTTGTCCAGGTGGAAGAAGCACTGTAGCTTGAAAAGGGAAGCTCCTGTTTAATAAGAAAGAGCCTTAAAATACTGCTAAAAATAATTACTGTGGAAAAGAGGAAGATGTGAGAGCATCACATGTACCACATTTTTCCTTTGCTTTCACACAAAACAGTTAGGAAAAAAAAGCAGAAAAGGCAAGTGAAATTTTGCAGCATATGTGCTATGTAGAGGAAATTAACTTTGCTGATCAGCACTTGTGGTAGAAAGCCTTGGCAATGGAAAGCTGTCCAGATATATCACAGCTAGATTTCTTCTGCTGACCCACTGCCGTCACCCGCTTTTCTCAAATAGCAGAGCTACTGCTGCAGGAATGTGCCTACCTACAAGCAAACTTTTGCTATTTTCAACATGTAGTGATTAGCAAAAACATCCAAGCCGCCACCTCCACCTACTTCTGCCACCACCTCACAGCAGAAATACGTTAGAAAGCGCAGAAGGGAGTAAATACTGGAAAACAGCACAAAGCATCCACTCTCCAAGGAGAATTCATAACCACACGCCCTCTTACAGCACTGGGATCCATTCGGTTGGTGTTAACGTGAACAGACATGCCCACCTGTATTCATCCAGATTATAAGCAAATCTAAGTGCTTTTCACACAGGCACTTCCAGGCTGAATGGAAAGTATCCAAACTGTTTATAGGGAAGTATGTTGACAAAATATCGTTGTGCAAGTGACCTAAAAACATCTTCTTCTGAGAAATAACCCCCTTGGCAAAGAAGATTAATGTTTTTCGGAAGTTTGTTGTTCCCCCCTCCTCCCCCCTCCCCCTCAGTATTTGTTGGCTCCAATATTCGCACATGGTATAAGAGGTATATAGAGTAATTAACTGAACTCTGCTGGTAACTTTTTTCTGCTCATTAGTGGACGTAAATGACACTTTTTATCCCACAAGAGAAAGGCAGAAGGTAGCTTTATTAAAGAAGTCCAAATGCCTTCAGATATTAAGCTGCACAGGCAAATGTAGGCTGTCCCCTCACAATGACAATAACAAAGGAAAACACTTTGTGAGGAAAGAGGAAAATCCAGCAGTTTCAGGTTACAGAAAATCACTTTCGTCTTACAAAGGAAAACAACAATAACAAAAACCCCACACACAGCTCAAGAGATTTCTTGTCCTGTTCTTCCCCCTAGCCATCCCCAACCTTCAGACTACAAAGCTGGCAAGAGTTGAAGAAGCTTCAGTTCAGCAGAGATTAGAGTCTAAGTACAGTCTTGTTTACAGAAAATACAGTTGTGTTTAAATTCAAATTTAAAGCAGAATTTTATGACTGAGAAACAGGGAAATTAATTAAAACTAGGCAAATGCAAAATGCGCCCACACTATTCAGCAATGTGTAACTTGCGTTCCTGATAATGGCTTGGTAATATGATGCTCACTGCTCAGAAAGCCCCAGGGCTTCTAGCCAAAAGCTAAGGTGTTTTAATAATCTGGGATTAACCTTCTTTGGTTACCTTCACTGTGAACTCGGTCTCTGTGATCTCCTGTTTCCATGCACCACTATCCATGCTGCCACTGCGCAGAACAGCCCAACGTACTCATTCATGCAGGAAAAAGAGAGCAGGTCTCTGCCCCACAGAATGCACCCACATCCACCCTCACCACCCCATATCGAGCTCCTGCTGGCTCTTCCCTTGTTAAGGAGATCTCTGTCTCCTGTGGTTTCCATGCTATGAGTGAAGACAGAGCAGCAAACACCCTGGTTCTCCATCGAGCAGGATACACCGCCTGCAATGACCACACCAACATTCTCTGTCAGGAGCTGCTGCCCTGGCGGCAACAGGCTGTGAGGACAACATGGGCTGAACTTTTCTTCAATGTTTACAGGCATGAAGAAAGGATCGAGCTGACCTCAGGGGGCTGCTGAAACCCTGCACTCCCTGCTATGGGCATGAGCAGTGCCAGAGTGCAGCTGAGGACAGCCAAGATCCTGCCTAATCAGGCGTTCTGCTATTTGGCACAAGTGATTGTGTCATGGGGAAGGTCATTTTCCATCTGGTTCTTATCCCAACAGGACAGTGTTGGTCTGTGCTACCTGGGGAACTGAGACAGTCCTTACGCTTGCTTGACAAAAAAGTGTAAGGCTCTGATTCAGCCAGGACTGAGGACTTCATTTTGCAGAGTTCCACAGAAGTTCAAGCTGTTCTAATCACAAAACCACAGTAACAGTGAGAAACTACAACAGTGTGAACGTAAGCAAGTTAGCCTTTAAGGATGTGTGTCATCTTGGTGATGCTCAGGTATGAAAATGGATGTGCAAAACGAATGAATTAAGGTATAAAATAGCATGTTTAAGAAGTAACTCTTTGGGTCTGCTTTCTGCCTGAGATCTGCTGCGTGTTTGTCCTGCCAACTTGGGGAATTGCTCAATATGAGTAAGGGCAGACAGTCTGCAAGTCAGTTTTGTTCACCAGAATCTTGCTTTGATTTTAGTAATCCACATTTAATTTGCATTGTGCTTGGTTTCTATGCTGCAGGCTTGCAAAAAATCCTGAGGATTATTTTCATGCGGTCAATCAGAGAGGGGAACAAACTTCTTTCTGGTTTGAACCCTGACACTTCAGTACTCCCTTGGAATCCAGTTCAACATGCTACCACAGTGAAGAACAAAATAAACGAGACTTGCTTTTCTTTGCCATCTTTGTGAGATGCATCAAAATATCAAAATTGCGGGAATATCAGATGAGCCCTAGAATCCTGGCAGCAGGATTTGGTGACTTGAGGCTAGAGACAAAGGATGGCTCCCAGTTGGCAAAAGCAGGGCATCAAATCAGCTCTAACTGTCCTATACTACAGTGCCAGTACTGTTCTAACACAGATTTGTATACATCATGCAACACTGATTTCAATGGGAGTGAGGCCCAAAGAGCAGAATTGTATGTGCTCAGTAGAGGGACTGTTACTAAAAGCCTCCAAAACGTCCATCTGCAGCAAGGTCATGCTGGCCTCCTGCAGAATGGCTATTAGTCACCTTGGAGTAGTTTTCTTGCCAAATGCAGCACTTTTG